GTTTAAAGTTATGGTTTTGAGATTGATTTAAGAGTTTGTTAGTTGCATATGAGGTTGTAGTTAGCTCTTCAAAATTCCATAGATGGATGATATTTATGCCATAGTCTTAGGTTCTATTTCTACCATAGTTGTCAGCAAGCATATACATATCCATATATATATATGGTGGCATGGATAAGACACAGCTGCCACATGGAATATTTCTAAAGGTCTGGCCAGATATTCATGTCTCGTGTCCTAAAGTCACGAGACATTCAATATTATGTACCATAGGTTGTTACACCTTCCCACACGCTCCACAAGGGTCTATGTACGAACTGTTTTTTGTTCTAAGTTTTCAGATTTTCCTTGTTAATTAATGCATTAAGGCATTCTGGAGTTCTCCATAAGTACGTGGCCACAAGAAGGATATATAAGAATGCAGCAGCAAGTGAAAATCATAACACAATGGCTTCCCGTCTCTCTTTCTACTTTGCTCTTGCTGTTCTTCTGGCCACTGTGGTGGATGCTTCGAATTCCATTTCTTCAACATCAGATGAGAATGTGGGCATCTCTAAGTCACTGTTTGCATGGTGGAAGCTGGATGAGAAGATAGGCTACCTGGTCGCAGACTCGTCTGGGAACAAGGCAACTGGGCTTGTGGAGCAGGCCGGGTCCCAACTTGCTCACACAACTGATGGTATTGTGTTTGATGGTGCAACATACATTTCCATGGGCACCACGCCCTCTCTCTCTGGGCAGACTGATTTTGCTGTTCATGCTTGGGTGAAGGTCCCACCCCGCATCAAGCAGGAACTGTGCGTCATCCAGCAACGCTCTGATCATATCTATGGTGAGTGGTGGCTATGGATCCTCAATGGCAATCTATGGTTTACGGTGTACAATGATGAGTACCAGTTCAACATTAAGGGAACAGTGCCAGTCACTGATGGAACTTGGCACCATGTTGCTGCAGTCCGAAATGGCACTGTTGGGTCTATCTACGTTGATTCTAAACTTGATAAGTCACAGAACGGCTCCAAGATAGTCAACCTCAATTCCAGCCTACCTGTCTTCATTGGTTATGACCCCCGTGACAACAAACGCTACTTTCATGGTGAACTCAAGGAGGTTCAGATCTTCAGTGCTGCTGTTGTGCCTGTGGGCTTCAACCCAATGTCTAGCTATGGAATCATGTAAGCTTATGCTCCTCTGACATGGATTCATATACGTAAATAAAGAGGAGCTGGTTTGTTATATTCTATGAAGTATGGCATGCTTCTTATGAATTGAATGTAGAATATACATTTCTCTAGTGTCCATAGTTCCACAATCCAACAAAGATGTATGGACAGAATGGCAGCATTCAACATGCGTGGCAGTGCTTCGCCAGAATTCAGCAGCTGACTGTTGTTTCAGGGAATGGCATGCTTGTAGCGCTTGCCTGGAATGGGCACTTGCAGCAGGCAATGATGCTTCTTTAGCGGTGCTTCGATAGTCAGTCCAAGCATGTAACTCTGCAGAATATAACTCTATTATGAGGTAATAACTATTTTGCCACAAAACGTAAACACCGTAAAAAACGAAGAATGCATATAAACTTTCTTAAACTAAAGGTATCTTTAAGTCCACCCTATCTTTGAGTTTGTTCCCGAAATATATGTTATTATATTTTTTTTTGAGATTTTCAGCCACTCTATAAATATTTCGTCACCATAATAATCATCCAAGAATTCCCCAGTTATAGGTGTATTTTGTGTAGGATGCTTTCAACAATATCATCACCCAGTTCGTGCAAGGCTCAGTAGACAAGAAGTGACGATGCGTCAAAGATCTTCCAGCTTTTGTGAGAGCTTGTAAAGTTTTATCGTCCACCAAAAGTAAGAACGGCCTCCTTTCAGTTTTTGCTGTTCTTTCTTCGATATTAGTGGCTCTCGTGCAGATCCAGCTCATAACTCGGTCCCAAGATCGAGTGCAAAAGCAATGTCGACTGGATCGGTCTCTCGGGCTCGGTGCATGGTCGCCACCCCAAAACGCGGGGATGAGAGGCCTAGAAGAGCCTTACTTCAACTTTCCTGCCGTCGGCAAGCTGGAGTTTGAAAAGGTGGTGTTTGACGCCATACCCGAGCGCTCAAGAGCGTCGGGGAGTCGAGGATTCTGGTCGAGCAGTCGATGATCTCCGAGTACACTGGCTCAAGCGTTGAGGCAGTTCGAGCTCATGGACATGGATGGATTCCGGCCCGTCTCGTCGTTTGCTACGTCGTTCGTAAAGCCATGAGAATGTCCAAGCTGTTCCAGAGCTCCGAGAGCGAAAACCATCTGCCGGAGTCGAAGTCCCCGGCTTCCACTCCAAAGGCTTGGATCAATCGACTTTCTTCACGTAGCACTCGGCCGTGGCAGCCCGTACAAAGCGCTTGGTTGAGGCTTACTTTCATCACAGCCCCTTGCTCTCCCATATCTAAGCTTGGCCTCGAGGAGATGCCCGCTCCGTGCAAATGCTGCGAGTCCAGGATGTGGTGGCACTTTCGAAGACTTGCTGGGCGGACTGGAGCTTCCCTTTGTTGACGCAGGCGATGGACATTGAAATGGAAGCCTCCATGCTGAACTGTGGCATTCTTTTGAACGCCCTTCGGGCTTCATCGAGCTTGCTCCACGAGGACGCATTGGAAAAAGGAAGGCTTTTCCGTTAGAAAACCAAAAGAATGCTACATGAAGCTTGAATACCTTTTGAACACTACTCAAATGCCTTTTGTACGAAGCACCAGGTCCTCTTTAGCAGTGCTGCTGCAATCCATTCGTAGCTCTCGTATTAATTCTCAAGCATGCGCAGAGATCATTGCAATTCACTGCAGAATATCAATATAATCTAAACGTATGATATTATGAGAATCTTGCCTTTTGGAGAATGTAAGAGTGCTCCTTCCAGAAATCATCGCCAATAACGTCGAAGTCATGGTAGTGGAAGATGGTTTGGTCAGGCTGGAAATATATACATAAGTACTTATGAACAGCTTTGTAAAAAAACGAAGACATTTTTCTACCTTTCGTACAAGAAGGGATCCCTTGCGATACTTTGCCGGCAACGCATTGTAATCTATCCGAAAGTCGTTACTTAGAAGTTCTTTCTTCTCGCTCGACCTTGTTCCCTGAAACAAGGCCTTTACACGAGAAACATCAAAATTTGAAGTCTATACCATGAGTGTCTTGTGCGCATTGCTCGGATTCAACCCCTGCTCTCGCAACTTCCAAAAGCACGTATTGTTCACGTTGTTAATATGACCTGCAAGCAATACAAACCAGAAACTAAGCAAGCATGCTTGCTGGATAGAAGAGAAAGAAAATGTGAACTTACAGTCCACTTGGCGCCAAGCCAAGTAATCTCTAACTGTTGTTTCTGTGGGGTAACACACTGCTCTTGCATCAAAGGCCGGAGCACATTCAAGCTCCCTGTCGTGAAAAAACTTGGGCCACAGCATTACATACTTTGATGTGAATAGCGAAACAGTCGCGGAAATGAGCTCGTTGCTGCAAAAAAAAAAGAAAAAAAGGGTTAAGCACTGCCTATGGCCACGGTCACTTACCTTGCTTGTTGATGTGCACCCCTTCGAATCAAGAAACTGTACTCGTCGCTGATGCCATAGGCGCAAACGATGTCTGTGTTTTCTTCTAGAATTGCTTTTGCACACTCGTCCATTAGCTGCAAAGCTCGTTCGTCGTTTGGCTTCTGAAACCCATGAAGATCAGCAAATCTGGGAAAAGCAGTCGGTTAGACAACAGCTTCAACAAGAAAAGAAAGATTCAAATGCATACTTTTTAAAACCGCGACCATCAATTCGAACAACGATCCAGTTGGCTTGCAAAAACTGCCCTGTCGTAACCACGAAGTCAACTTTCATCTGTAATGGGAAGTTAGTAACTAGTGGAAAAGTGCAAAGAGAAGCTTACAGGATCTCTTTCAACCATGGTCGGACTCTGCTCAACACCTCTTTGCCTATAGCTTACTAAGTAAGAAAAAAGGCCACGTAAAAATTGCTGCAGCATGCTTGCCTGGCTTTGATAATGCTTCTTTTACTCTGTTCAGCAGTAGAAACTCTAGAAATTAAAGAAACAGTGTTCTAAGCAAAAAAAGACTTACTTTTTTCTTCTCTAGAATGAAAGAATGCTCCATCCAGAACGCATCGGACGTAATTTCGCCACGCATACTACAGACATCAACCTGTTCTCCAACCTGAAATCTATTCTCAGTCCAATGAAAACTAGAACCATAACAGCTACGAACCTTTCGTTTGAAGACGAAAGCTCCCATTTGATCGTTACTAGCCTGAAGACCAGATATCCCTGTTTCACGACATCGTTATCGATGAATTAAATGCAGAATCAGGACATACAGTTTTCCTGCAGCGAAGATAAGTAGGATCTCACCAGTGAATTCTTCGGATAGCAATACGCAGCTCCAGAGAACACAGGCGTACTCAAGAGATTTGTCTCTGGGAAAAACGAGGGCCAGCTCCTCACGTATAGCGATGTAAAGGATGATACAAGCACCGATACGAGCTTGCTGGAAAAACCACTGATGAGCTAAGCTCTTAGCGAAAGTACGTAAAAAACTAAGAAACCTTTCTCGTCGTCTGAAGAAGGAGGTACTCTCGTGGAAAACAAAGCTGGAACAAAAAGAAGAATCGCATTGGATTTGAAGGCAAAGAAAAACACGAAAGAAAACCTTCACCTTGATTCATAGATGACTCCATACGCACAAACAATGTCGAAGAAATTCCACAGCAGTGTCTTCAAACAATCCTCCACGAGCGCTAGAGCTCGGGAATCATCCCTCTCAACGCCATGACCCTTGAGAAGCCTGCAAATATTTGCCCAATCACTTACAAAGATCGATCGCGCATCGCTTACTCCTTGAAATCCCGGCCTTGGATCCGGACGACGATCCAGTTGCCGGAAGGCAGCGCATCGTCGCTCTCAAATCCCTTGACATATTCATACTTGCTTTGTGCCATAGCTTCGCAAGAACCCTAAAAGGGCCCTAGTTAAATTAGATCAAAACCCTAGGTAAATATTAATTTACCGTTAGTGACTTGTTTTTACATGAATGGAATATTCTCTGGCGGCTTATATCGTTCTCAAGCATGGAGAAAGGAAACCGCCGCCCTGGCGCGGCTGCCTTGAATGCCCCACGAATTTTTACTTACATCTTTTTACAGCGACCCCTCTCCATTTGGATGCGGACGAAACGAAAACGAATCTCTCTTTCACGCTCTTAAAGGAGAAAATAAAAGAAATTTCACGCTCGATGATCCTGATTGATCACGCCGCGCGCTGCCGCATTGTTGTCGTCTCCAGGATTTTCTGGAGCTGCTCATAGATCCTTGAAAAATCAACGACGACGACCATCGCCTGGCGCGGTGGCATTGGAGGCCAAGCGCTGCAACAAAGCCCCAAATCTTTCGATCGATTCGTCCACCTCGATCCCTTCTAATCGATCGAATCGATCGAATCGATCCATCGCTTGTAACATTTCTCTCCTGGGATGGATACCACCAATCTCCCCTGCTTTGGGCTTTTACTGCCTTCGTTAATGCGCCTCGATCCATTCAGTGCCGCACGGATCGATCCAATTCAAGCGCGATTTCTTCCTTTCTTTAAGAGAAATTCGCTCCAGCTGTGATTCGACTCACCCCTCCCTCCCCCTGTTTTCGCGCAGTTCTTCCCTCTTTTTTAACAATCTCTTTCCTTTCTTTTCGTCATGATCGATTGATCGAGCGCTGGGCGCGTATAGCTCCACCGATCGATCGCTGGGCAGCCGGGCATTGTTTAATCGCGCGCACGCCCCCACCCATATGCGCTTGGTGGTTGAAGCGCAGTGATCATTGGGGAGGAAGTCGCGAGCAAAAGAATTTCTCCTCCGGAATTTGTCCATCCACTCGAGAAAACAATGCGCCTTCGATCGCGAGTGGGGGCTACAGTGAAGATTCTCGAGTAAACAATCCATTTGATTTGACATTCTTTTCCACTTTGCTCGTCTCCTCTTAGCTAGCGATCGATCGCGCCAGCCAAAAGCATCCAACTTCTTATACTCCACAACCACTCTTTTCTCTTCCCATTGTCTAGTAGCTCCCCCTCTCTCCACATAGCGTAGGATTTCTAGGAGAGTTCTTCGCGTCTTCTTGATGATCTTCCTCTTCCTCTTCCTCCACTACTCTTGAACTTGGATGATCTGGGAGCGCTGGAAGTCACGATGCCGGCGTCGCCAATCTCATGCGCGGCCGCGATTTCTTTCCTGGTGTGGATGTGGATCATCGTCGCCATCTCCGGGCAGCAGGACGAACAAAGCATGGATCCCGCGGAGAAGGAGGCCTTCTTCCAGGTGATGGAGTCTCTAAACTCCGAGTGGGATTGGAGGAGCTTGCTGCCGGATCCTTGCGGTGAGAACACGCTCCAGGGGATGATCTGTGACGTCGTCGACGACGCGAATTCCAGCTTCCCCAATTCGATCCATCTGGTGGGCTTGAGCGTGGGGAAGATCCAGAGCAACACGCCCTCTTGCAGCGCCAACGCGACAATCCATCCCTCCATCGCCAAGCTCTCCCACCTCAAATCCCTCGCATTCTACGGCTGCTTCACGAAATCCCCCGCTACGATCCCCGCCTCCATCGCCGCCATCGCCACTCTCTCCACTCTCACCTTCCAAAACAATCCCGCTCTCCAGGGACCAATCCCTGCCGAGCTCGCCAATCTCCGCCACCTCGAGCGCTTGATCCTGGTCGGCAACGGCCTCGCGGGAGAGATTCCAGCCGAGCTGGGCGATCTCACGTCGCTCCAGCAGCTCGTCATCAGCCAGAATCCGGGGATCCTGGGCGCGCTGCCAAGAACCCTAAAATTTCTCTCCAGTCTCGTCATCCTCGACCTCAGCCACAACGCCTTCGATTCCATCGCCAATCTCTCGCTCGCCGGCCTCGATCGCCTCCGCAAGCTCGACCTCAGCAACAATCGCATCAATGCGACGCTGGGATCGCTGGAATCGCTGCCGCCGGGGCTGGAGCTCCTGGATTTGAGCCACAATCTCTTGCGAGGAGGAAGAGAGGGGAATTTCCTCGAGCCACTGCTAGGGCTGGCGACATTGCGGGAGCTCTACCTCCACAGCAATCCAATCCAGGGGGCGATTCCATCGATCGGGTGGGAGCGATTGGGGGCGAGCTTGATCAGCCTGGACATCTCGGATTCCCAGCTCCGCGGCGCGATTCCCAGCAATCTAGGCGCGCTCCCGAGCTTGCGGTTTCTAGGGCTGGCCAGGAATGAGCTCACGGGCGCCATCCCGCGCGAGCTCGCGCGCCTGGACCAGCTCGCGGAGATCAATCTCAGCGAGAATTCGCTCGCTGGGCCGGTGCCATTCTCGATCGATTCCATCACGCGATTCGGCAGCAAGCTCAAGCTGGGCAACAACACTGGATTGTGCTATCCTCCCCAAATCCTCTCCATGATCCAGCAGAGCTCTTCTTCCTCGCTTTCCTCGCAAGGAATGCTGGATCCTTGCGACAAATCCACGCTGCCAGTGGCATTCCAAGTAGGAAACTATGCGCCGTCGCCATCCTCTTCGATCATCGCTCGCGGATCATCCACTTTTGGTGTGATCATCGCTGCCACCTTCGCCACCTTCTTCGTCCATTCGCATTAGTATATCAAAAGGTGGTGGACCGGTGGCATAGATTTTCTTTTCTTTGTAAATGACTTTTTCTTGCAAAAAAAATATTTTGATATGGTTAGGAAAGAACGATGTCGTTGTATCATGGAGTTAAGAATTATAAGCGCCATGATCGATCGTTCCATCCACTTTCGCCACCTTCTTTCATTGTTTACCACCTTTTTCCATTGTTTAGCGCTTGTCTGTTTGTTGGGCGGTAAGGTTGGCATGACAGGAAAAACAACCAAATTGGATGCCAGTGAAGAGATACACGCTTGCACACTGAAGCTGCGTTTGTCCTTGTTAGTACACACCATAGAAAACGTAAAAGTGGTGAAAGTGAGATCTCACATACCTTCATGGATCGTTATTCTAACACTTTGAGCATTCTTCTCAGTAGCGATGAGCACACACTGGGCCTTGTCAATGGGCCACACATGAAGTAGACCACATTTCCCAGTGGTCGAGTGTAGATCCCAAGCACTTGGCGAAGTTCCTTCACGACGCCGCTGGAGAGTAGCGAGCTATAGCCCTTTTGGCTTGATGAGCTTGATCGCAGCTCTAGCGCCATGAGCGTTCCCAGAGAGATCACTCTTTCCACGGAAGAAAGGCTTGATATCTCGGCCACCAGCTCTGGATCCCATTGCTGGCACCGGCGAAAGTATTAGTTCTTTAGAACACGGAAAGTTATAACCGCTAACCTCCTGGAGACGACTTGTGCCAGGCAATAGATTTGGATTCTTGGACGGGTCCTTGAACCATTCCAGCGCTGTAACAGCGGCGGAGCAGCCGACCGGATGTGCCGTGTAAGAATGGCCATGCAAGAGAGCATCGAGCTGTAGTATGAAGAACAGATTCATTCTAGCATCCACAAGAGAAAGATTTAAGTACCTTGGACGCCCCTTCAAAAGCTTGAAATATGTCTTGAGTGGCAAGAGTAGCTGCTAGCGGAACAGTTCCTCCAGTCAAAAGCTTGGCATAACAAGCGATGTCTGGGTTGCATCCTAAAAGCTCCCAAGCAGACTTGCACGCAAATAAAACTTCAAAAAAAAAAAGAAGAAAAATTTGAAATGAGATGAAATACCTCGGCACCAAGTCGCCAACATCCAGTGAACACCTCGTCAAAGATAACTGGGATTTTGTGACACTTGCATTGCTGTGTAAGTATGCGCTGGAACAAAGGATCCACGAGCTCCATTCCACCAGCAGCGTGGATGACTGCAAACGTCACGATGAGATTTAACACATGATCCAATTTGTCTTACTCGGCTCGATGATGAGACCGGCAATTGTTTGTCCGCCTAAACCGCCTTGGCTACTCATAATCTCCTTCTCTATCGCGGACGAGTAGATCTTAGCCAGCTCCGTATTATCCCTTTCCAAAGCAAACACGTCTTCTCTTGCATCCCATGCAGGTTCTGCCATTCATCGTAAAGAATAATCAGCAATGACGAGATAAACAGATAGCAGTTTACCAGTTGCTATAGTGCCATATCTTTCTGGCACCCGCAATTGCCATTTCCTGTTTTGGCAGCACACGGTCGGTGGATCTAAAAAGACGCCTCTTCCGGAATACCTGTTGTTCAATCATCAAAGCAAGCATGCGCGTAGATTATTGAAACCCAAAAAGAGCTAAAAAAGTAAGAAGAATACCAAGGTTGCTGCGAAAATCCTGTGTAAGGAGATGGCGCTTGCGCTTCCATTGCTCCCAAAGTGTCTCCATGATAGGAGCCTCTGAGTGCAAGAACCTGAGCAGCACAATCGGCAAAATGATAAACACAACGAAAGCTTACCTTGAAGTCCGGTTTCTTATCTCCTTGATTTGTTAAAAAGCCATGATCAACAGCATATTTTCTCAAAGCCATTTTGAGAGCAATTTCAGTAGCGGTCGATCCATTGTCAGAAATATAAACTCTGTGTGCCCAGCCTTGAAAAAAAAAAGTTTCGTAAGATATAATTAGGCAAGAGCAGTGTTTACCGCGTCCAACGCCTTGGAGTAGCAATTCAGCACAGCGAAGGCCAGGCTCGTGGACATTTTCGGGGAACATAACGTGACCATATCTGCCCGCAGCATACGCAATTTGTTTCGCAAGCTCATGCTGGAGTCTCAAAAATTCAAACGCGTCTGTTAGACGAAGGCAGACTGGTGTGTAATGATTAAAAGAGCTTTGCAAAAACTCAAAACTTACCTGCAGTGATGCATCGGGCCCCTGCGTCCACCAGCTTGCACAAGCATCAAACTGCTGAGCAAAGCGGCCGTGTTTATTCTGGCACAGTTTGAAAAGTCAGTACGCAACTAAAAGAAAGCAGTATAATACAAACCTCATAAACTGAAAAGAATTCGCCCGATCGAGAGTCTATAACCGTCACGTTCTCCTCGGGCACCAATCTGTGCTGCGTGAAGGGCCACCAGAAAAGCTCCGATGCTTTTTTGGGCATCTCACGCAGCCTTTGTATTCGCTTATGGTACGCATCTTCGAGCAGTAACACCACTTGAAGGAACGTACTGCTGGTGTCGTGAAACCAGCCCGCAAGATCGTCACCTGGATTCTTTGGTACGGCAGGGATCACAAAGACCGGCACTCTGACGAGCTAAACTAGCATCGGAATCGCATGGTATGGAAGATATACCTGTTATGGAGCTGTTTGGACAGATGCTGATTGTTTCCCAGTCCCATGTCCTGAATTACAATGCAGATTGTCTCGTATCCTCGCAAGAGAAGGCTTTCATACGCCGCTAGAGTAGTCGATATTCCTCCTAGCCTTCCATCTCCGACTAGAATTCCAGGTAGTCGAAGAGGCCTGTCTCAAAAAGAAAACCGAAAAACCAAAAAGGTTAGTGATTTCTCACGATATACTTCTTACTACCTGTAAAGATCGCACTGCAAAGTTCCTGAGGGAGCCGGACTCGCAACACCACCCGCGGTCTCAACGAAAGCCCAGCTCCGTCCCGTTTGAGACGCGTCAGCGCCGAACTCCCACAGCGATCTTCGCAAAACTTTTCGCAGCTCGTCGTCGCTAGCACCGCCACCTTCCTGCTGAGCGGCCAAGTGTGGAGAAACAGCCGCACACCAGCTCCACAGCGTCTCGCAAGTCAGACTGGAGGAGCTTTTCACTGAATTCGCAGAGTTTTTCCAGGAACCCGAGGAGTCTGTGGAGCTTTTCGTCAATGCTGCCTTTTTGGAAGCCTCATCGGACAGCCACATTGTCCGGTTGGAGAGGAAGATGCTCTCGCTCCTCCCGACGAGAGAATCTATCCTCTGCGTCACAGACCTGGCGTCGGAATCATCTGGAAATCCCGTCTGGACGGGCTTCACATAGAGGACATGCGATTTCTGGCTCTTTCCGGAGGAAAGAAGCGCTGCCGCCATACCAGTGGAGACGAGCGTCTTGCCAACGTCGGTGTTGCATCCCCAAACCATGAATGCGGGGTAGCGCGCATCGATCTCACCGAGAAGAGCATCCTCGCGGCGCCGCGCCGCGAAATCCTCCGCCGATGGCAGCGCCTGAGCTGAGGAGAAGCATCGTACATGGCCGGCGGCGCTGGATCGCCGGCCGAGGCGACGCCACAGGGCCAGGAGCAGCATCACGACGAGCAGCCCTGTTTTTAGGGCACTTGTGAAGAGCCCTAATTTTAAAAAAAAAGTAGAGAGATTTACCAGCTCGCGGGAATGTGGAGAGGCGCGGTCAAAAGCTAGAAAAGAGTCTTGTCCGCAAGCTATGTATGACTGAGATTTGTATGTATTCTTTGTTTTCCTCGTCTAAAAGCATGGTTGGATGGATGGATTTTTGTGGCATGTGAAGTGATGAGTGAAAAATTTGACAAGGTTTTGTCGCTGTCCCTCGCCAACTTTTTCCTTGGGTGTTGGCCCATGCTGCACGTTGAATGGCGAGCAAAAGTGGTTCCCCGGCTACAAATGCAAAATAGGAAAAGGAGAAAGATATATTCACGAAATCACCAATAATCATCATTTGGATGAAATATCTAACACTACTAAATTCCCGAGGCACAGATTTTTCCCACTCATACACGAAGCTTTTGCTGCAAATCCGAAATCATAGTTTCATATCACTGGTGGAAGAATTCCAGAGCGTGCAGAACCAAAGATGCTGTCCCTAGCTTAAAAACACAATTGGGCAGATCAAGTTGGTGTGTTGTTGATCTGATTTGTCGTCTGATTAGGCGAGGAGGTGGTGGGGTAATAGCAAAATCATAGTTGCATATCAGCTGTGGAAGAACTCCAGAGCGTACAAGTTTGAAAATACAATAGCAGATCAAGTTGTGTGATTTGTCACCTGATTATGCAAAGGCAGGGTAATACCAAAACATTATATGCTTTTGCAGGTTGGCAGCAAGCAAGGAGTAGCGCGTAGCGTGCGCCGTGTTTCCGGATTTAGGAGTGGAACTCTTCATCATCATATCCCCTCTGTTAGTTGAAAAATCGATTGCATTCCCATTCTCCCTGCTGCTGCATTCTGCATTCTGCTTCCTGCTTCCTGCGTTCTGTTTTCTGCCTGCGGCTGGTATGGTAGAGCGATGCGATGCAAATTCTCACGCAAAAATACTGAGAGCAGAGAGGGGTGAGAGAGACAATTGTTTTTGTAAGCTAAGAAAGATTCGTTCTGCACCAGATTTCTGAGCGCCAGTCCCCAAACAGACAGAGACAAGCATGCATGCCACACAAAGTTTTAATCGTAAGATTTGCGCCTTTTTTCAGTACTATACTGTTTTGGTGAAATGGCGGATCAGAGGAGACGGGAGGAGATATACCCCCTTAAAAACAATCCCCGCGTTGCGTGTCTCGTCCCAACTCAAACTTAGTTGTATCGATGTGAGTGTTGCTCCCAATTTTTAGGGTTGGCGTTGCATGTGCTCCGGGCATATTAGATATTCCCATACATTAGCTTCCAAGGTATAGAAATTGGGTATTAATCCGCGAGAGAGATTTCTGATGTATAGAGTCTTTTTCTTTTCGAGGAGACCCGTGAGTCTCTCTCTGTAGGATGTTGGTCGAGAGATGGAGACATACGGGGGAAATAAAAAAAACTTTAGCCTTTTCACCCATTTCACCGGTCAGTGTAAAAATTTCCTTGGCTTTGTTTATGAGGGGATTGATGTTGTAAGACCAGATTACGAGTAACCACGCTTCGAAAATGGCGCTGATGTGGCGGGGTGTCCCCCAGAGGAGGGGCAGGGTGACGTGGCGATGCGATCCTCGTCCACTGGCCCCGCCCATTCCGATCCGGAATGGCCCGCTCCAGTGGGCCAGTGACATTCCAGATTCCAGAACTGTGCCAGGCCAGAGCATAATGCTGTGGTACTGTGGGACACAGAGGAAAGAAAGAGAGAGAAGGGTTCTTTCTTCTTCTTCTACTCCATTCTCTCGAGGAAGGAATTCTTCTTCTCACTCCCCTCTCTCTTTCTTTCCGGTTTTGGGGTTTTCGATCGAGACGGAGCATCGATTGGATCGATCAGCGCGAGCATGCGAATGCGCATGCAGCAGCGGCGGCGAGCGATTCGGCAGCGGCGAATGCGAATGCGGCAGGACCAGCAGCAGCAGCAGCATTGCCTGGGCTCTCGACCTCTCCTCGGATTTGTAAGCGAGCGCGCAGGGAGCGAGCTAGGATCGCAAGCTAGAGGGAGCTCGCGATTGGTCGATCGCTGGATGCTTTAAGGCCAGTGCCTGGATCGTCTGGGAGAGTGACAGATCAGGGCAGCCCCCCCCGGCGCTCGATCGAGCATCAAGAGCATTGATTGAGCGGCGTAAAGAGAATGCTGCGGCACCGTTGAGTGTTCTTGGGAGGCATTTAAGAGAAGAACTGGCATAGCAGCGCGCGATGCTAGAGCTCGCAACGAATTCATCAAAGGTATGCTACTACATTCTTACATTCCTCTCTCTCTCTCTCTCTCTCGCTCTTGTTCTCTCTCTCTCTCTCTTGCTCTTGTTCCCTCTCTTGTTCTAGTCTTGTGATCATCGCGATCGATCGACCGACTTAAACGCTTTTTCTCCTCCTTTCCAGGAATGACGAGCGTACCTGGTCCGTAGAAAAGCTGTTTGATCGATCGAGCCGCGGAAGAAAAGGAGGAGTTCCAGCTCCACGAACACGGAGGAGGAGCAAAGATGATAAGTCTCCATGATCTCTACACCGTGCTGAGCGCCGTGGTGCCACTCTACGTCGCGATGATCCTGGCCTACGGCTCGGTGAGGTGGTGGGGGATCCTCACGCCGGAGCAGTGCGGCGGGATCAATCGCTTCGTCGCCATCTTCGCGGTGCCGCTGCTCTCGTTCGAGATCGTCAGCAGCAACAACCCCTACGCCATGAATCTCAAGTTCATCGCCGCCGACATCGTCCAGAAGCTCGCAATTCTCGCCGCGCTCGCGCTCTGGGTCAAGTTGTCGCGCCACGGCAGCCTCGAGTGGCTCATCACCTTGTTCATGCTCGCCACGCTTCCAAACACGCTGGTGATGGGAATTCCACTCCTGGCAGCCATGTATGGAGCCAAGCCCGGTGGATTGATCGTCCAGGCGGTGGTGCTCCAGTGCGTCATCTGGTACACCTTTCTACTCTTCCTCTACGAGTACCGCAGCGCGAAGTTGCTCATCCAAGAACAGTTCCCCGACACCGCCGGATCCATCATCTCGTTCAAGATCGAGTCGGACGTGGTTTCGCTCGACGGCCGCGAGCCGCTCCAGACCGACGCCGAGGTGGGCGACGATGGAAAGATTCACGTCACCGTGAGGAAGTCGGTGTCCTCGCACCACTCGATGCTCTCGCCGAGGAGATCCGTGGGTCTCAGATCCATGCCGTCGTCCAAAGCGCTCACCCCCCGGCCCTCCAACCTCACCGGAGCGGAGATTTACTCGATGCATTCGTCGCGGAACTTGACTCCGAGAGAGTCGAGCTTCAACCGGAATGACTTCTACTCGCTCATGAGCTTCACCAACATCCCACCACCGCGGCAGTCGAATTTCACCAACACGGATGTCTACTCGCTCCACTCGTCGCGCGGTCCGACGCCGAGAACCTCCAACTTCAACGAGGAGAACTCGCGAGCTCTCAACAATGCCGCCGCCGCCTCGCCGTCACCTCGCTTCCCGCTCTACAACAGCAGCAGCTCCATCTTTCCAAAGCCCGGCGATGGCCCGTCCGCTGGCTTTGGATTCTCTCCAAAGCATCACCACGGAGGAGAACTCCGCGCTTCTCCAAAGCTCGTCCACAACAACAGGTCAGCGGTAGCGGCCGAGGATCCAAACGCTAAAGATCTCCACATGTTCGTGTGGAGCTCCAGCGCCTCGCCAGTCTCGGAAGCTCATCCGCAGCACCAGCAGCAGCAACACGGTGGTGTTCTTGGTGGCTATGGTGGAACTTCGGACTATACTGCCACCACCACCACGAACAACAACATTAATGGAGGAGACTTGAAAGAGAGACTATCGCCACTCGCTCATCAATCCGGTAAGCAAGCTTCACTCTTTCATCTCTTCGCATCCCCCGCTTGCTCGAAGCAGTGCTTGCAGCCAGAAACGTTACGTAGCTCTCGTGATTTATAAGCATTTCCCGGCTTGACTTTGTGGATTCGTGTTGTCTTGCAGTTCCTGGCCGACAATACGACGAGTACGATCGAGACGACTTTAGCTTTGGCAACAGGCCGAGCTTCCGTGGGGATGAATCCATGATCGCGGATAAGGAGGGGCCAAGCCTCATCAAGATTGGATCCAGCTCCACGGCGGAGCTGGCTCCGAAAGACGGCGACAACAAGGCCGAGATGCCTCCGGCTCGAATTATGACGAGGGTGATACTGAGCATGGTGTGGCGAAAGCTTGTTCGCAATCCCAACACTTACTCGAGCTTGATCGGAGTTATCTGGGCTCTCATCTCGTTCAAGTAAGTTAGATCTTCTTCTCGTTCTTCCGGAGATCTTCTCAAAACCATTCTTTCTTTTTCTTCGTTTTTCTAAGGTGGCACATCGAAATGCCTGTGATCGTCGACAAGTCCATCACAATTCTCTCCAAAGCTGGCCTGGGGATGGCTATGTTCAGCTTGGGTGAGTGAAGATCATATGTTTTCTTTCTGGAGAGTTTTTGACGATTGTTCTTCGCGAGCAGGACTTTTCATGGCTCTCCAGAAGAGACTTTTGGCGTGTGGAACTTCTCTGGCGATCTACGGCATGGTGGTGCGATTTCTCACCGGCCCGGCGGTCATGGCGGCCGCGTCCATCGCCTGTGGACTCCGGAGTGTGGAGCTCAAAGTCTCCATCGTCCAGGTACGTTTCAAGCGCTCGCAAAAATTTTCAATCACCGGAAAGGATTTCTAACTTTTCTCTCCATCTTTTTTCTCGTAGGCCGCACTGCCTCAAGGAATCGTTCCTTTTGTTTTCGCCAAGGAGTATAATGTCCATCCCGACATTTTGAGCACCGCGTAAGCCTCGTTTCCTCCCTCGCTTTTTTTCGGATCTTTGCGTGAAAATTCGATCGCTTTGCTCGAAAATTCGATCGCTTTGCTCATTCTTCGCTCATTTTCTCGAACTTTTCTTTTTCTACAGGGTCATCTTCGGCATGCTCGTGTCATTTCCAATCACTCTCTTGTATTACGTGCTCTTGGGTCTGTAGTGCTTAGTGGATTTTCTATCTTGGAGAGAGAGAGAGTGAGAGAGAGAGAGAGAGTGGCAAACAAGAGAATATTTGAGAGGAAGAGCTGAGAAATGGAGATACGGCGAGCATGGAAGCTTTCTTTCTAGCTCTAATCCTATGTAGAAGAACAAAGCTTTCGATTTTATAAAAACAGAGGTTTCTCGAAAATGTGGCATTAGGGTTTGAGGATTAGGGCAGGAGAGGAGGAGGAAGGGGGTCCGCGATGGCGGCACGGCGCCTGATTCGGGCGTTTCGTCCCGCGGCACTTCGATTCTCCAATTCCCACTTTCTCAGGTACTCCGATCGCGCAATGCTCCGGTTCTAGCTTCTCGATGACTGAATTTGGGATTGCAGACCACCGGAGAGCTGCTGCTTTGATGCGCAATCCTTGTTCAGGTAGACTTGCGCATTGGAATGGAATTTCTCTTGAGCTGCTCCATTGCTTGAATTTAATTTTTTCTAGATCGACGAACGCGATCGCGGTTCAAGCATGGAAGCCGGCGTCTTTGGTAAGTAGCCAGCTTTTTGGAACGCTTTGATCTTTCTGCGAGAAAAATAACCAGTTTTTTTTGCCAGTCAGTGTCCGGAATTCGATGCTTTGCCTCTGGCGGTATGTGCGATTTTTTTGGTTGCTTTCTCCTTTACGAGGGATTCCATGGATGATTTATTTTCTCAGAGCCTCCCGCTATCGTTCTCGGAATGCCCGCGCTTTCTCCCACTATGGTATGGAGTTTTTCTTTAGTTTGATACTTTGAGGTATTTACCGAGGTGATTGTGCAGACACAGGGAAACGTTATACAGTGGAAAAAGAAAGAGGGTGACAAGGTACTCAATAGCAAATCTTTGCTACTGGTCAGTTCATGCTGTCCTTATACCACAGGTGTCCCCGGGAGATGTTCTGTGCGTGATAGAAACTGACAAGGCTACTGTCGATTTCGAGTCTGTGGAGGAAGGGTGCGTACGTGACCTGTTAAGAGTCTTACGTTCTTACAAACTCCATGCAGATTTCTAGCAAAGATCCTGGTTCCGGGGGGCACAAACAACGTTTCAGTTGGTCAGACAATCGGAGTTATGGTAGGCTTTTAAGTCTTTATAGCAGAGTCAACTGAGCACGTATATGCTTGCGTACTAGGTAGAGGACTCGTCTGATATCGGTAAAGTATCGAGCAGTGATTTTGCTGCTCCCCCGGCAGCCAAAAAGGAAGCACAGCCCTCATCGAAGCCATCGTCCACAGCACAGCAAGCCAACGTCAAGCCTCCCCCAGCATCGAACTTGCCGCCGCACATTGTTCTTGGGATGCCAGCATTGTCTCCAACTATGGTATGCACTATTCTACCGATTTCGAGGCAAAGAAACTAGTTTAATACTCGTGCAGACGCAAGGAAACATTGTGGAATGGAAAAAAAAGGAAAGAGACAAGGTAATACTTTAGCCTTCGTGTTTCATCCGGTCAGTCTTTAATAAACTACACAGGTCTCCGCGGGGGATGTTCTCTGTACAATAGAAACGGATAAAGCAACAGTGGATTTTGAGTCGGTGGAAGAAGGGTATGTCCATCGTTTCTACGCCTCTTCTTGTTTTCTTTACACTGCACTAAGAACTGTTGTTTATTTTCAGATATTTGGCTAAGATAGCATCTCCTTCAGGATCGAAGAATGTGCCGATTGGTCAAACTATCGGAGTCATGGTACGTGATTCCACTCCTTGTAGGTTCTTATTGTGTTTCTCCAGGTCGAGAATGAAGAAGATATTGCGAAAGTAGCTGCTGCTGATTTTAGTGGTCAGCCCCCTGCCACAAAGACCGAGGGAAAACCACAGGCAGATGCTTCTAGCAAGGTTTCCGTGATGTCCAAACCTCCAGCAGCTGCTGGCTCTAAGGCTTTGTCAAGAGTAGGCCCATCAGTAAGAAGGTTACTTGCTGAAAGCGGGTTGGATGCTTCATCCATAAATGGTACAGGTCCTCGGGGGGTGGTTTTGAAAGGTGATGTTTTGGCTGCCATTAAAGGTGGCACGAAACCTGGGAAACCTCCAAAGGATGCTAAGTCTCGCCCGTCACCTCCCACGTCTCTGGATTTTGAAGATATACCCACTAGTCAGATCAGAAGAGTAAGTTATTCTTGGTTTGCTTATTTCGTCACAGCTTTTCTCGTGACCATCTTACTGTAGATCATTGCGAAGAGGCTGATCGAGTCCAAGTTTGGTATTCCTCACTTCTACATATCTGCTGGTCAGTCACTTGTCTATGAAAACACTTTAAGATTGGAGCTTATTGTGTATGTGTATGTGCAGACGCGATTCTTGATTCGACATTGTTGTTAAGAAAGGAGATGAAAGGTCAGTTGTTCAGTGCGCCTTTGTGTTTGTGCTCATTCGTTTTCCTTTTACAGAGAAACATGGTGCTGCTGTTTCGGTTAATGATTTCGTGATACGAGCGACGGCTCTTGCGTTAAGATCCGTGCCCGAAGCAAATGGTAAGACGTGGTTCTTTTTCAAAGTCTTATGACTTCCGGGTGAAATGTTTTTCAGCTTTTTGGGATGAGAAGGCTGAAGAGATTGTTTTCCACAAAACAATAGATATCTCCATAGCAGTTGCTACTGATAAGGTACGAAAATATTATTTGGATCCAAGTTTTAACTCCGATTGTGTGCTGTGTTGCAGGGCTTGATTACTCCAATTGTAAAGAATGCGGATTTGAAGACTTTGTCTGCAATCTCGACGGAGGTAAGATCCTTTTACTCAACGTCACTAGTTTCTGAAATCTTCGTGCACTCAGGTGAAAGCTCTTGCCGAAAGAGCAAGAACTGGGAAGCTGAAACCTGAGGAATTCCAAGGAGGCACGTTCAGGTTGGCTATGTGGTATGAAATTTTTTGAGGGATGGCTAATGGTTTAAATCTTAACAGTATCTCGAATCTTGGAATGTTCCCCGTGGACAGATTCTGTGCTATTATCAATCCACCCCAGGTACGACTATAAGTTGCTATTGATCAACCATCAATTTATTGTTTAATTTCAGGCTTGCATTCTTGCTGTTGGCAAAGGCGAGAAAGTCGTTGTCTGGGAAGACTGTTCGGAAAGCGGAGGAAGGCCACGTACCGTGACCAAGATGGGCATGACTTTATCGGCAGACAACAGAGTTTTTGACACCACAATCGCTGGTAAGAGCACTCCGTTCTTTCTTCCTTCACGTCATAAATTACTCTTCCCTTCATTCAGGTCGGCTGCTAGAGGCTCTCTCAGCCAATTTGCAGGACCCGGAGAGGATGCTGCTGTAAAAATCCTCGTCAGGAAATTTTTGTTTTTGGATCACGACGGGGGTGATGGTGTAAATTCAATAAGGAACGTGGTGGCCGGGCTGCCGTGGACAATTGAGACACGCAATAAACGGCGGCCACCGCGATGCGTTCCACGTATTCTTTGACAAAGCAGCCATGGGGAAGGTTGAACGAAGATGGCCTTTTGGATATATATATTCACAGGAAAGGCAGAGAAGCACAGGGGTTACAGGACAGAGAATCAGCAGAGATGAAGCAGGCAGCAGTACTTCTGGTAGTTCTTCCCGTGATCTTGGTGCTCTCGCTGTCCAGCATGGTTCCATGGACTAATGCAGCGGGGAATGCCAGTATCTCTCCCGAGAGGAACAGGACTTGTGTGAAGTATGCGAGCGAAGTGGCCGGCTGCATCGATTTTTGCAGCTCTCCCGGGGTGGCTTGCTTCGTGAGCTGCTGCACACAGTACATGAACAATCCTCTCTCGGCGTCCTGCTTCTGCAACACCGGCTACTCCAGTGACAAGACCTCCAACTTCACTCGAGTCGCGAGAGAATGTAAGTCGGAGTTTTGTGGGACTGCCTAAGTTCGTTCTTCTCACTCGTCAAATAAAGCTTACAAACTTTGCAGAGCTTCAAACTCGTGTTCTTCTCTCTAGTTATGTACACTTCTCTTTTCTCTGGGAGGAGCTTTGCTGCGCTGCTAGACGGATTCTTGGCTCTCGTGAGCGACTGCTGCTCGGCTTAGCTTCTTTGTGGATGATGCTTTGCTCGAATCGCTTCCCTCGGGCTTTAAGTTGAGGAAAGTGTAGAAGGCCATGCCACTCAAAGCCATGGTCGCGCCGGAGAGGCTCTTGGATCCTGGATTGGAGTGGAAGAAAACGTAACCGCCGAGAAGTATAACGCACGTCTTAAACTGTCCGAGAACCACATGAGTCGTCGCGGAAGTGGCACTGTTTTCACGAGGAAAGAAAGATTTCACGTTTTTTTCCTGGGCTGGAGAAGAAAGAAAAGAAGATCATACCCGAGTGCTAGAGCTCCAGACCACTGAAGAAGAAATCCAAGAACAGCGGACGATAACACCGCGGCTGTGCTAAAGAAACTCCATTGGAACGAAAAAAATCCCGGTGGATCGAGCCACGGCATGAGGATGAGAAGCGTGAGGAGAGTTATCGGAGTGGTTCTCCACATAAGCCTGGAAAAAGAGAGAGTTTTAGTCTCCAGCTTGAAAGAGATGGTACGTTCAATCGTGTATTAGAATGGACTACCAATATCAGCGCCGGAGAGGGGGTGAAAAGGAGGCAGCAGCTTACGCAAGCGCCGTCCAGCCTTCTTGCTGTTGTAGATTCGACCAGAGGATCTTGTTGATCGCGCTGGGGATGATCCACGCTACTGCTACCAGAGCTCCGAACAAATGGAACTGTAAGTCTGTCACGGTGGCAATGGCCACTCCCACGGAAACAACAGCTAACGCTAGCACCTGAAAAGAAAAACATGTAAGAAACACACCAAAGTTGCTCAAATCAGTCACCTTTTGGATGGAAACTCTCTTTGCGAAGAGCATGAATTCGGACAATACAATCGTAGGTGTGACTGCGATCTTGGCCATTTGGTAGAATCCTACACTGCGATATCATCGAGAGAAAACGTGAAGTTAGAAACTAAGAAGCAAAGAAACAAAGAAGAAGAAACGTGATACCTGTTGTATTTCAGACTGACGTTCGCGAGTCCGTTGGAAAACGCCATGACAATACCGAGACCAAAGAGTGACGAGATTGGCGTTGCTTTGAGCGGAGGAGCGGCCGGGAGAAGCGAGCAGGCATTCAATATACACATGAAAATCCAGCTTACGGAGTAGTGCAAGAATGTGAGCGCTATGGGAAAGTTAAATCCAACTCTGCCAAGAACCTGAGAGTAGAACTCTGGATAAGTAGACGAAGGAAAGAAAAAGAGAACGAGCTCTACTCAACCGATTTGTTCATCAATATGATGGCCACCGCGACGAGGAAGTTGAAAGTTAGAGCGGCACTGGGGCCGCAGAAACGCTGCTGTTGTCTCTTGGCACCATCGGACGTGCGAAGATCGCTCAGCAGCGATGCGCGTAGATCATCCACCAAAGAAGCTGGCGAAGCTGGAAAAACCAAAAGAGAGAATTCACATCAGCTTTGAGAAACACAAAGAAGCCAAGAAAGAAGGAAGAAAAGGCTTAGAACATCTTTCCCAAGGAACCAAAAAAAAGAGAGAAGAAAAACTTGAGAAAATCAAAAGAGAGAATTCACATCACTCAGTGAAACGAAGAAGATTTGCAAGAAAACGCAAAGAAACCAAGAAGAAAACGCTTGGGTAAGAACAAGGATCCAAAAAAGTAAAGGCAAAAAGAGAGAAGAGAAAATCATGAGAGAAAATTCATGAGAAGAAACACAAGAAAAAAGGAAGAAAACGCTTAGAACATCTTGCCTAAAGAACAAGGAACCAACCAAAGAGAAGAAAAAGGAGAAAAGAGAGAACCGTGACTGTCTTTGCGCTTGAGAAGCTTCCGCGAGACAAAAAGGTTGAACATCTTGAGGAAGATCATGGCGCATCCACACCATTCAGCTCAAATCCGCGGCCCTAGAGCGCGGCCAGCGCGTCTCCTTCTGGGCATTTCTTTTGGCTTGAACGAACGGATCAATCAACGAATGCGAAGAGGATACCTGGAACTGGAGACCCACATTCGACGATAGCGGATTCTTTTCGTGAATCGCCCGCCCGCCCGCCTCGCCACTCCCGGACGAAGACGAAGAGCCCGTGACCAAAATTTAGGGTTCTTCGTTCACACTTAAAGGCAACAGTTAAGTCTTAACAGTAATTTTGTCCCTGGGAAAGAGTTTCTCTCGTTTCTTCGTCATGGTCCCATGAGCTTCGATCTATTCTCATTTCTCAGCCTGTAGAGCATCGCGAGCAGTGACGAGCACGCGTTCTTCAAAAAACTCCCTGCTGCCGCTGCAAAATCGCTGAGAATCGAGAGTGGAGTGAGTCAAGGACGAGCAAACCCGCTGAGAAAGCGAGGAGAACAAAAAAAAGGATACAGTGCCGAGCAAGGCGGCCTCCCGCCGTTGACGTAGTATATGTACAAGTAAGCGTCGTAGTGGTGGCCATTGATGTGGTAGAACTTGGAGAGGCGACGCAGGCACCGGAAGGTGTTCTTCTGGTAGAAGTTGATGGCTGCTCGGTTGTAGGCGATGACGTGCAAGTAGACTGCTCGGCAAGAGGAGATGCGGCGTGCGTACTCGATAACTTGCCACACCAACGCGGAAGCTGTATCAAAAAGAAAAGAAAGTGAAGAACAGCCAGAGATCATCCATACCAATTCCAAAGTTGCGGTATGGCTTGACGACTCCCAAAGTGAGGATGTAGAGCAAGTTACGGTCGGCTTTCAGGACGTCGTAGCCGAGGATATCTTCCCCCTGGAACTAGAACAAGAAGAAAGATCAAAAGAGAGAAAAGATGGAGAGTGTGGACGAACTTACTTCGGCCTCTGATGCTTTGATCATTCGAGCAGTGATAAAACCGACGAGCTGTTCTCCGCGCCCATCTGATCGGCCAGTGTCGACGGCAGCCCAAGCGACAACTCCTCTCCCATGAACGACGCTCATGAAAAACTCCAGTTCATATCTAGGAAGATCACAGCAAAAACGAAGAACTTAAGAACTTCAAACCAAGTAAGAAGAAATGCTAAGAAGAAGAAAACTCTATTTCATAGATCACAGCCACAAAGGAGAACTTTAGAGCATAAAACCAATTGAGTAAGAAGAAATGCTAAGAGAAGAGAGGAACAGTTCATATCTAGGAAGATCACAGCAAAAAAGAACTCGAGATCTTAAAACCAAGAAGAAGAAATGAGAGAAGAGAAGAAGGAAGAAGAAGAGGACGAGCTTCTCTTGCTTACTTGATTGGAAAAAGAGCTTCGTGGATCTCTTGCAAAATCTCCAAGTCGGATGGCTGCACGCAGCGGTACGCGATATTCGGGAAATGCGCCGCTCGTCCGAGAAGAACAGGAATCCCAGTCGCAGCTCCGAGGGAAAAATTCTGATCCTTCTGCGGGACGAATGCTCGATGCTGGACGCCCACATTCTGCCGCGATCACGCCCAATCACAAACCCTACATTGCTGGAGTGGAAAATCACACTCACCGATCGAGCGCTCTCCATTCCAGCTTGCTGCCATTCAAAATCCGCCGAGATGGACCGCGCGCCGCCGCTCCAGCCGCCGCCATAGCCTCCTCCTCCCACGGCCGATCGCCATTCTTCTCTGTTCTCTCTCTTTTAGCTATCTAGGCTAATAAAAGCGCTGGAAGTGTATCGAACTCGCGACCATTGCTCTCTAGTGGGTTTAGGGTTCGCGATGGACGCGTCGAGGAGCAAGGACAGCTTGCGCGCGGCCGGGAAGAAGCGGGTATGTTTCAGATCGGCGATCGGTCGATCCCTCGCATTGGATTTCTCTGAAATCCAGCTCTTGATTTGTCAGTGTTTTGTTCTAGCTGGAGGAATTTCGATTGAAGCGACAGCAGCAGCGAGTGGAATCGAAGAATGCGGACGCTGCTGTTGCCGCTACTGGCGAGGAGTCTGGATCGGCGATCAAGGATGAGAGCGGCACTGTCCAGGTAGAGTTAATCGAAAGGCAAGGCATGTTTCATGTGTGATCGTTTATTTTTTCGCAGAACGAGAACGAAGAACCCAACATTATCGACTCACAAAATCTGGTAGACTTTCTCTTTGTTCCTCTTGCGTATGTGATTCTTACTGAGAAAGTGATGACAGGATCGATTGGAGCCTGTACAAAAGGATTCTACCTCCATGGATTTACAAAGTCAGGTAGCTCAGGACTTTTGTTTTTCGGCCATTTCCAACACGGTTTATGTGGTAGGATGTATTGGAACACGGCAGATCGCATGAGATGTTGGAAAAGCTGCACGAAGATATACGGGTTGCAAAGCAGGAAAAGGAACAGGTTCTTGCCGAACGAGACAGTCTCTCGCTGAAAGTTGAGGAACTGGACACGCGGCTTCGGTCGGTTCTTTTGGATGAAGAGCAGAAGCTACATGCAATGGCGGTGCAGCTCGAGAGCTGTGTCTCGGAAAAAACGGGCCTGGATTCAGCTCTTGCATCGTCACGTCAGGAAGCTGAAGAAGCTATGCAGAGAACTGTCGCTGAGTTCGAGCGGCTAATCTCTCTCCTAGGAAGCGAGGCAGCCGACATAGAAGAAGTTCAGACTAGTTCGCTGTCGGACAGCGTCTTGGACAACGTCAGGATGATCAAAGCGGGGACAAAAGAGAAGGAGAGGGAACTACAGGACTTAAGAGTTCGAGTGGAAGAGCTAGAAGGGGAGAAAGGCGTGGTAGAATCAAGCCTGTCTGCTTCTGCGGAAGAACTTGCGAGATTGAAAACGCAGGTGGCTAGTGAACGTGAGGAGCACAGAGAGGTGATCGCAGCTAAAAATCTGGCCATTGAGGAGGACATGGTGAGACTTCGTAGTCATGAACAGGAGGTTCTCAGGGTAACAGGGGAAAGAGATTCTCTGTCGGCGGAGCTTGCAGCACTGTCTCAAAAAGTTGACGAGCTCGATGGTTGTCGATTTGAGATGCAAGATCTGGAAGCCAGCATCCAGCATCTGAGGCAGGAGCTAAACGATGCCGAGAAACGGGAAGGAGAAAGCCTTCATGAGCTTCAATCCGTTAAAGCTCAGCTCGATCAACTGAAGATAGACAATGAAACGAAGCTCGACCAACGTGACAAGGAGATCGGTCGACTAGGAGATGATAAAGCTCGTTTATTGGATCAACTGACGGTACTGGACAAGGAAGCAAGAGCTCGTCAGATGGAAATGGTAGCAGACTGCCAGGATTTGAAGCAGCAGCTGGAGAATGTTAGAAAGAGGGAAGAAGATGTCGTAGCCAAGCTTGAATCGTTGGAAAATCAGCTGCGACAGGAAAAACAACGTTTTGAGAACACGGAGGAGCAGGAAAAACTTAGTCGGGAAAAGGGAGATGTGCTAGCAGCGGAGAATTCTCGTCTTGTAGATCAGCTTACATCTCTATCGCAGGAGTTAAAACAACAGCTGGGGGATGCTAAAAAGAGGGAAGACGATCTCGTAGCCAAGCTTGAATCGTTGGAAAATCAGCTGCGACAGGAAAAACAACGTGTTGAGAGCACGGAGGAGCAGGAAAAACTTAGTCGGGAAAAGGGAGATGCGCTAGCAGCGGAGAATTCTCGTCTTGTATATCAGCTTACATCTCTATCGCAGGAGTTAAAACAGCAGCTGGAGGATGCTAAAAAGAGGGAAGAAGATCTCGTAGCCAAGCTTGAATCGTTGGAAAATCAGCTACAACAGGAAAAACAACGTGTTGAGAGCACGGAGGAGCAGGAAAAACTTAGTCGGGAAAAGGGAGATGCGCTAGCAGCGGAGAATTCTCGTCTTGTATATCAGCTTACATCTCTATCGCAGGAGTTAAAACAGCAGCTGGAGGATGCTAAAAAGAGGGAAGAAGATCTCGTAGCCAAGCTTGAATCGTTGGAAAATCAGCTACAACAGGAAAAACAACGTGTTGAGAGCACGGAGGAGCAGGAAAAAATTATTCGGGGAAAGGTTGATGCGCTAGCTGCGGAGAATTCTCGTCTCTTGGATCAGCTTACATCTCTGCAAAATCTCAAGGTTGGTGAAGCTGAACTTTGGACTACGCGCGTTACGTTGGAAGAATCACAGAAGGAGATGAAGGTAGAACTGGAAGCTTTGAAAGATCAGCTCCTGGCGCTTGAGAAGTCTTCAAGTAAAGAACTTACGGCCAAGTCTGACATGATAGAAGACCTGAGGAAACGTGTGGAGGACCTGCAAGACGAAAACTCAGGTTTAAAATCTTCATACGAAAACAGAAGCAGGTTTCTTCAAGAGCAGATGCGGAGTCTGGAACAACAACTTGACAAGTCCAGTGAGAAGGAAGCTCTTGGCAAGGACGTCTTGGAGTCTAGACTTCACATAGCATTTGGAAGGCTTGGACGGCTTGAGGACGGCTACCTGGACACTTTATGCACTTTGGATAGTCGGGTGACTTCTCACGAGGAAAAGTTCGTCCGCGTGCTAGAGGAGTTGTCTTCTTTGCATGAGACGTATGCCGAACGATTAGACGAGGGCAACTTGAAGCTACAGTCAGATTTTGGCTTGTTGGAGAAGAAGCTTGCGGATCAGACCGAGAACGTGAAAAGATTGGTGACGAATGTGATTGAAGACTCTGGCGAAAACACCTCCGTGGAGACTTGTGTTCTTGCACTGATCGACATGGTTGAGAAGAGTGAAGAGGAGCTACAAAGGCTCCGCTCACAGCAAATCGATCTCAACGAAGAACTTACTTCTTTGCGACTCGAACAGCAGTCGGACGTGGTGACAGCAAATCAGACTAAAGCGGAAGTCACTCGTTTGCTGGAACGAGAACAGAGTCTATTGGACGAGCTTTCTCAAGCCAATCTACTTGGTGAACAGCTGCGACTCCAACTAGAAACGTCCCAGGAAGAAGCTAAGAATAAGTTTGACGAGCTTTCGAAAGAATGTGGTGAATTGAGACGGCGAGTCGCCAATCTTGACGAGACACTTACTTCTGTGAAACTGGAGCGAGACTTCGCCGCTCAGTCGATGGCCAAACAAGAGGCGGAGATACTTGAGACAGTACGGGTCATGCGGGAGGATCTTGCTGCCGCGAACTTAGTTCGAGAGCACCTCCAGTTCCAGCTAGAGAAGTCCAAAGAAGTGGCTCTTAGGGCGGAAAAGGACGCACAGATTGCTGCAAGCAGCGCTAAGCGGCATACTGAGGAACGCGACGCGTTGAAGCAGACAGTGGCTGATCTGGAAGTTTCTTGTTCGGCATGCAAGCAGCAGCTAGCTGATTGCGAAAAGCAGCAAAAGTTGCTCATAACGTCTTGCGAGGAAAAGAACGCTTGCATACAGAAAATAGGGGACATCATTTCCACCACTTGGATCGTCCCGGCGGACTTCGAAAAACTTAACACTGCCGTAAAGGTGAACTTGTTCGCTGGCGAGTTCTTGCAGACTCGAGAACGCGCATCGGGTGCAGAGACAGAGCTGATGAAATCGAAAGAGAAGATTGCGCTCCTGAAGGAAGAGCTGAAAAGCCTAACGTTAGAGAAGGATGATGCACTTCAAACTTTGGAAACGTCAAGATCAGAATGCAGCAAGCTCGAGAGAATCCTTTCTCAAGAAAAAACGGACCGGCAGTCGATGGAAATGAAGGTTGGCGAATTTGAAGCGAAGCTGCATGGCTTGCGGGTGAGGCTGTCAAGCGTTTTGTTGGACGAGATGGCCACGAGCACTACTGCAGAAAGTGAGGAATTTACGGAACTCGATCACTGCGTCAGCACTCTCATTACTACGCTTGCTGCCAGCGTTAAGACGAATGAGGAACTTCTACTGCAGCAAAAACTTTTGGAGGACTCGAAGTTGGAGCTGCAAGCTAAGCTTTCGAGCAGAACAGAGGAGATGAAGAACTTACAAGACCAAAAGAACCACGTAGCTCTCGAAGTGAAGCAGGTAAAAGAGGAGCTGGATTCTGCAATGGATCGTTTCCAGCGAGGGATGGCGGAATCAGAGCAAAGACTGGCAACAGTGAGAGAAAAGCTGGGCCTCGCGGTTAAGAAAGGGAAAGGCGTGGCTCAGCAGCGGGATGACTTAAAGCAGCTGCTAGCTCAGAAGTCGGAAGAACTTGAACGTTCGAACAAGCAGCTTAGTGCTTTGGAAACGTCTGTGAAAGAAAAGCTCTCGCAAGTGGAGAGCATCCAGAAGTCCTCGGTTGAAAAGCAGGAAGCCTTGAAAGCTACTATTCTAGGGATGGAGATTGAAGCATGCTCGAAGGAAGAGGAAATAAATTCCTGCAAGACTTTACTTCAAGAATCGTGTGGCAGAGAGAAGAAGTTGGCTGCGGAGTTAAACGTTCTGAGACGAAAATGTGCCGAAACACTTGAAGAGAAACAGCTGCTGGAGGAGTCTAAGAGACACGCATGGCTGGAGCTGGAACGGGAAGCCGCAAGACTAAAAGAGTTCGAGGCGAGTGAAACTCGTTTAACAGCCTCTTTGGTCACCATGGAAGAGAAAAACAACAGGCTTCAGAAAGAGCTGTCTTCTGCAACGGAAGATCTTACAAGAATCCTTTCTCTTCAATCGGAAATTTTTGAGAAGAAGTTGGCGACTTTGACAGATGTGGATATGTTGTTAGCATCACTTCAGCAGCTCCTTTGGCTTGACAAGGATACCAAGGTGTTTTCAAAGAAACCATCAAGCTGGGATGATCACGAAGACAAGGTACGAGCTAAGTCGTGTAATTGCTTTATGTGGTTATTTTCTTGATTCTTTTGCAGGTTCGTCTTTTTAAACCAGCTTCAATGAACACGTCAGAAAAGTTCAAGACAGGCTTCGAGCTCATGAAAGGTGCTCAAGATATTGAGCTTGCTGTTATTCTTGAGAGCGCGTCCATCATTAAGCAGCTTTTACATGAAATTCTAACGGAAATCGCATCTCGGAGGAAGGAAACGACAGAAGCTTTAGAGACAAATGAGCAGGATTTGCTTTCATATCAGCTGCAAATATCCTCCAAAGATCGAGGTACTTTTTAGTATTTCAGATAGCTCTCGTGCTTGTTAGTGACTGTTTTTGTTCCCAGAAATCGAGTCGCTGCGGCGTGAGAGTGACTTGAAATTCAAGCAGCTCGAAGAACTTACAGACCGAGTTGAAGAACTCGAGACTCTGATAGAGCAGAATCACTTGGCAATGGACAACATGGAAACGTCACGCAACAAGGCTGTTGGAAAGCTCACATTTACTGTGAACAAGTTCAAGGAACTGCAACAGCAGTGCGAAGCGATGCTTGCTGAGATTGAAAGACTTCAGATGAATCTGGACAGCCGCCAAGCTGAACATGCTGCTCTTAATCAGAAAGTCGAAATTCTTCAAAACGACTTGAAGCAGAGAACTGAAAACTCGATGCAGTTGGAAAGAAGTCTGAAAGCTTTGACTGCAAAGGCCGCTGTTGGACAACGAGGGGAGCAGCTACTATCCGAACCGAAAGCAATTGTTGATTTGCTAGATGCTCAAGTTCAACGGTTACTGCATGAAAACGAGAACCTTCAACTTAGCACCAAGACAAAGGATTCGGAGTTGCAAAAATTGAAAGACAAGTTTTTGCCGGTACCTTCCGTGAGCGAGATCGAGGAGCTGGTACGTACTCTGTCGCAGTTGAAATTTGTAAGCTGGATATTGATTATTGTTTGCAGGAACAACCAAAGCATATGACTGTACCGAGTGCTCCACATATACGAGCACAGAAGAAAATGGTCGTTGGAGACCAAGTTGCTATAGATATGGATGCCGGACAGACTATGGAAATTGAGGAGAAAGGTAACGAAGCTTTGAAAAGTCCTCATATCATATTTTTCTAACATCTAAAGGCATTTAGGAAACGCCTTTAAGTCTCTTGGAATGATACGGTTCCTTCCCAAAGCTAGCCATCACATTGGTGACCGGGTTGATGAATTAAGGTATGGAACAAATTGTCTAATATTTTTTTGCTGAGCTTTCCGCTTTCCTGGCAGTATTTCGGCTGGCAGACTTCTTATGAGGCAGCCTGTTGCCCGGTTGTCACTTATTGTATACTGGATCGCGATCCACGTTTGGATTGCAGCTGCGGTTACTATGGCGAAGATATAGTACGCTGTGCTGGATCCAGGTACTCAAAAGCGCTCCAGTTTCTTGTTTTACCAATCGTGATGTTTCAGTATGTTACGCAACTCTTGCTCAGGCGTTCCGCGTTACAGTCGGGCCGATCAAGGAGAACTAGCAAAGCACTTTCAGTCGTAAGTAAGATCGAAAGAACTTGCTTTTCTTTTTTCTTCGCACAGAAAGGCGGTCTGATTCGTCGTCATACTGGCTTTGCAGGAAGCAGCAAGTGGGAGAGGAAGATCTTGGCCATCGATGGAAATGGTCAGAGTTATGCTGGAAGCGGCGATAGCGAAGTGAGTGATCATGAGAAGAGCGCGGGGATGGCCAAAATGCAGTTCGTCAGTGGAGGTATAGTGTGTGTGTGGTGGTCGCTTTTGCTTGGCGTCTCTGACTGATTTTCTTAATGGCAGCGTGGTGCTGATGAGTTTATACTAGAGAGAGAGAGTGGGGCTGGGGGGAACGGACGGATTCAGAGCGATGCGAGAGAAGGCAAGTGAGGTGATGATTCGTGGCTATGCGGCTGATTTTTAAGTTTTACCTGCAGAAATGAGAGGAGCCACAAAAGGGCAGGCAGTAGCCATGATGGATGAAAGCTTAGCTAGCTGCGGTGTTGAAAGTCAGGTGAGGACAATATGGACAGGTCTTGGACGTACTTTGCAACTTACTACGGCCACAGCAGGGGTTCCGGGAGGGGGGATTTTTTTTCTCGCACGTCCGTTTTCCGTTCGAGCAGGGCAGGCTACTGCTTAAGCTACACAGGAAAGTCTGCTGGGTGGAAGAGCTCAAGGATCAAGCAGGGCCAGTTTTTCGGGATTCTTTTAAGTGATCTAAAGAGAAGGGGATGAGAAGCGACCAAATGGCTTTTAGCTACTTGGACTTCTGTCGGCAGGCAGGCACGCTAAGTAGCTCTTAGCTTACGGAACAAAGTGGCTCAAGTTACGATACGTGTTCACGTCACGTGCACCAACAGTGGAAACTCTTCACAGGTTTTTTAAGTCCAGGAGTTCGTCAACGGTCGTCTGCGGTCCTTGACTTCCGGGAGCTTGGATTTACTCAAGAGATCTTGGGGGGCACCTATGTAGATAGCTCAGATTGGCAGGCAGGGTAAGGCAAGGCCGAGGAAAAATATACTATACTTACAGACAAGGAGGAAGAACAGCGGAAGTAATAAAAAGGGGAGGAGAGAAGAACTAAAAACTTTGGGGGAGTGCTCAGAGAACTATACAACACGACCAGACAGTGTGGCTCAGGTTGCACTTTCTTTGCTTGCGAAACCCGGGTCTAAAGCCGACATGATTCAGGATGCTTTTCGCGTGCTCCATGGTTCCAGTTTGTTTGTTGCACAAAAGCAAGCCTGGTGATTTTTGGGGACGAGAGTTTATTCGGTTTGTGTCAGTGCAAGTGCAATGGGGTGGATTGAAAGTTAGAGCTCTCAGTTGCCATGATTGCGAAGCTACGTTACTTTACTTGCTCGTTGGACTCTTCATCTCCACAGAGAACAAGACGAAGCAAGCAATCGAGAACACCAGTTAATACTAAGTTGAGTTACGAGCTAGCTACTCGGCTCATCTCCACACTCCAACAAGAGGCAGGCAGGCAGGCAGGCAAGCAAGCATGAGAATTAGTGTAGAGCCAGGCAGCTACTTACAGGGCGAGGAGCACTTTTTTGCTTTTCTCACTTTTCTAGCTCTACACACGGGGGCTTTGCATCGGTGGTGGGGTTCTAAACAGGAAGTGAAGAGAAGAGGTCTCCTCCAAAGGCACACGCGACTCTCTGAATAAATATGAATGGCGAGCGGGGAAAAGAGCGAGAAGAACGTACCGGCAGCAAAAGAATATAGCTACGTGCACGCATCACGACCTTCAATCATATCCTGTCTTTCGAATCGACTACCACGACTAGTACAACACCTCCGCCTTCGTCTCCTCCAGTGTTATCTCGAGGTAAAGAAGAGCGCTCTCCTTTTCCTCGTTGTTTATTCTCTCTCGCTCGCTAAGCAAACTTTTGCGTTTCCGTAGGTGGCTCGAGCTCTCTTCCTTGGACACTTACTCAATGGAGCTTACGCCACCGGTTAAAAGCTCGACTCCTCTCGTAAGAGCATGCATTGCATTGCATGGCAGCAAACAAAGCGCACAGCAGCAATTGGAGCGCTCTACTTTGTGGAGTCAGAGGCCACAGTGCGAGCAGGAAAGAAAGAACGAAAGACGAGTAGTAGTGTAGCAGTCGCAGAGCTATGATAGCGAGGTCTTCTCCTCGCTCGAGCTAGGCCGGTCCGACTTGAGGTAGGCGCAAGATGCTAAGATTTCTCTCCATTCGTCTAACCATCTTTCTTTCTTTCTAGCTCTCGAGACCGACGAGCGACACATTACCAGAAGCTAAACTAGGAGGACGAACTGTGTTGTGCAACTTGGAGCAAGGGATAATTGTCGTCGTCGAAATGCTGCTACTTGTTGCTGTCTAGGACATGGCGGTGGAGGAGTAGAGCTTTGAATTTGGCTGCTGCTCTTACAGTTAAGTACTAAATGTGTTGCTTCTCGCTGACTGATTCTTTGTTCTTGGTGCTGGCACAGATTTATGGCTCGACAGACATCTTTTCTTCTCATCTCTCGCGAGATGAGAGATTGAGAGGAGAATAGAAAGAAACGATGAAGAGCTGGCTCTCGCCAAGTCGCAAATCTGATAGAAGATATCTCGCGCTGTGAAACTATGCTGTAAGTTTGACGTCGCCATCGCCATGAGAGCTTCCCTTTCAAATTTTCCCTACTGGATACGATGATGTGTCGCTGGCTATGGAGAATAAAGGAATGATTCTGCTCTCACGTACTATACTACTAGCGCTACTGGCGAGAGAGAGAGAGAGAGAGAGAGAGAGAGATTAAGCGCGTCTTTAAGTTTCTTCCTTCCATGGGATGGGCGAAAGGAAGGAGAAGAAGGAATCAATTCGTGATTCCACGTGCATAGTATGAAATATTCTATTCCTCCGCGCAACACATCTGGAGCATAATGGCCGCTCATTCAATTCAATTCCTCTCCATTGACAAGCACGAAAACGAGAAAGGAATTGGACGCTGGAATTGGAGCCCAAAACCAAGACAAGCCAAGAACAACCAACGGAGTTCTCCATAAACAGCAAAGAAAAACACCAACATTCTCGAATCTCTGTCGCTGCAATTCGGCTCCCTCCAGACGCTAGCGGGGAATTGAGCCACGACCCACGAGACCCAATGCATCGATCCACCGACCCATTGTCTCAAAATCCCAGCTCTGGATCTGGATCAGGTGGATTCCGCTGAAGAACAGCAGTATGTGGTCGACGTGGCGGCCAGATCCACTCCAAACAATCGCGTCGACGACGAGGAAGACGAGGAGAAGAGCTTGATGGCTTGCTGGTGTTGCTGGGAAGAAGATGTAGAGCCCGTGACATTGTCGTCCTCGTCCTCCTCTCGATCCACGTCCATCTCCTCGTCCTCTTCGTGATCTTCCTCCTTGTGGAAAAACTCGTACTTTTGCGGGGAGTGATCGTCATGATCTTGCTGGCTCGATGACAGCATCTGGAGAAGCGCGGGATCGGCAGGAGTCGAGACAGCGCCCGGATCATCCGATGGAGTTCTCGGCCGCTTCCTACAACTGATGTAGAAATTCTCGTGCCTGGACGATCCTCTCTCGAACGAGACGATGTCTCCGGCCTTGAGCTTGTTCTCCTTGACGAAGCGAATCCATCCTTTGGTGAAGACGTAGCTCTGGCTGCTGTTCCAGTACGAGTAGCGGAACCACCACACTTTGCCAGTGAAGGACTCCTGGAAGGAGAGGAAGCGTCCCTTCTTGCGGAGCGATGGATCCAGCGGGAAGCAGCGCTCGGCGTGCTGCTTGGGGATCACTAATCGGTTGAGCTTGCCTACATCGCTGGGAGTCACCACCTTGTAGAAGAGATGCTCGTATTGATACAGCGACGAGAAGTGGTGAGCTTGGTGATGAGCTCCTCCTTGGCCATATGTTCCTCCCGGCTTGATCAGGAGCTCCTCCTCGTGAGATGATTGATCGCGGTGGTAGCTCACGGTGGTGCTGCTCGTCGTGCTGCTGCTGCTGTTGTTGTGATAGATCGATTCGTCCGGAGGAGCGTAGTGGTGGTGGTGGTGATCGTAGACTTGGTGGTGGTGCTGGAAACCATGGTAGCTTTGGATCGTTTCCACGTTGCTGTGGAAACGCATTTGATTGTGCTCCATCTCCACTGCTGCTGCTGCTCCAAGCTGGTCGCAGTGATCGTCGTGGTGATCGGGAAAGATGTTGAGGAGCTGCTGTTGTGGCCGGCTGTGGACGAGCATAGTCTGCCAACCCGAGGAGGAATCGTTGTGCGCGGCCGTGGAAGCAGCGGCGGCGGCAGTGGAGGAGGAAGAAACGTATGAGTCGGCGGCGCAGCTCGGCAAGAACACTCTCAGGCGGCTGTGGTGATCATGCTCCTCCTCCTCCGAGTGATGACGCTGATACGAAAAAATCCTCTCGTGATCGCCTCCTGCTGCTGGAACATAACCAAAATCTCTTGAGAATTCCATCGAGGAGTGAGGAAGAAAACAATCCAAAGAGGAGAGCTTCTCTACCTAGGAAGGAAGTATACTGCTATGAGGCAGGGAAGCAGCAGTAGAGATGAAGCAACCAAAAGTTCTAGCACTAGACGAACTTGGTTTTCAAGCGTGAGTGGAATTCAGCTGGAGAGGTTCCAAACGTATACCACTCGGCCGGGTAATCATTCTACGAAATCTAGAAAAGAAAAAGCCAATCTTAATCCGAGAGGGAGAGAAGGAGAGAGCGAGTTTTCATGGTTGATCGTCGAAAGAATTGGCGGTATTCATCAGAAGAGGGCCACTTTCACTCCCTGGAAAAGCGAAAGAGAGATGGAAGACAAAGAAGAAGGCAACAAAGAAAAGGAGAGAAAGAGAAAGAGACGATGATTATATACACAGGCCCGTGTAGAAGGTCACTGTGAGTTTGAAACATTGCTACTCAGAGGAAGAAGAAGAAGAAGATCGAGAGAGAGAGAGAGAGGAGAGGTATAGCAAGCAAGAGCAGCGATAGAGAGAGTGAGGAGACCTCTTAGATTTTCTAGCGGAGAGGGACAGCATAGTATTGAGAGAAGCCAGGGGTATCTCTCTCAATCTCACTCACTCTCTCTCTCTCTCTCTCTCTCTCTCTCTCTCTCTCTCTCTCTCTCTCTCTCACTCACTCACTCACACACACACACTGATCCAAGCTCTGGGGCTTCCACTCATCGCAGGTTGATTAAGTCGAACCAAAGTTCCACTTAAAAAGCTTGCTGTTCTTGGAGAGAACTATAAGCCGACTGGAAGAACAGCGCTTACGGGAAGTTAGGAAAAAGCTGAGCACTCGGACAACATCCGCTCAGAGAAGGCATCTCCATGCAAGGAAAGCAATTGTTTTTTCGGAAAAGGATATTTTTGCAAAAGGAAAACTGGGAGAAGCTCTTCAGAGAGGTCTCAGGTTGTAAGTATCAGCTCAGAGATGGAAGAAGACCCCACATTTTCACATGGGACACCACCAAACAAGTGATTCTCAAGCGATCACGCACTCCAAACTCGTCCAAGTTTCCATCCAAAAAGAGGCTTTCAAAGCGCAGTCTGATCACAGGCAAAAGAGGCACAGCCAAGAGCAAACACATGGACACTCCAGACAGTACACCAAACAAATAGTTTTCCAAGGAGCTTTGTTTGTGTGAGTGAGTGACTGACTGACTGGGGGGACTTTGTTGGGAGGCTACTGCATAGGCACAAACCCAGGACTGCTAGATTTCTGGATTCGCATCCATTATCCCAGGCAGGAGCGATAGATCATAGATAGCTAGAACCAGGTGGTGGTGGTGGTGTGTTCTCTTCCAAGCTCTAAGCAGCTCTCTTATGGAAAGAAGAGTGTTAGAGCTCTCTCACTCTCTCTCTCTCTCTCTCTCTCCAGCTTAGAAGGAAGTTAGAGGAGCTCTAGGACAAGTACTCTGATTTCTTAGCTAGAGACGATCATGACGGGATAATATTAAAGCTCTCAAACCAGGCACTGCAAGCAAAGCGGGAGTTACATTCATGTGAAACGAGCAAACCTGGCTTAGCTCTCTAGAGAGGTAGGGGGAAGTACTGTGGTTAGCTTAAGACGATCATGGCGGGATATAATGCAACACTCAACCAGGAGAAAAGCTATGATCGATCAAGTGAAATCAAGCAAAAACAAACAAACAAGCGCGCACGCACGCACTACTTAAAGGTCATAACTTCACTTACTTGCCTCAAACGCCTCCCCTCCTGTTTTTCGAGTGTTTCAACTTGGTACGTAAGGAAAGTACTCGCAAAATCTTTGAACCCTCCTCCTGCAACGAAAAGAAAGGGCTTGAGTTAGAGAGATTTTACAAGAAAAGCTCAAGTTTTCGCAAAGATCATGCAAGAAAAGTTTGGAGTTTAGCTGAGGATAAGATCATCGGAAAAAGAAAAAACCAGACTGACCGTAGTGTATACGTTTTTGTCTTGTTAGACATCCAATCCATGTCCGCACCTGATACAGTGTCCGCCAGGCAGCCAGCCCCGTATTTATACCGTATCTGAGCAGCAAGGCAGAGTTTGAACAGCCGTGATAGGCGAGCAAGTACAGAGGCCATGAATGGGACGATCTGCCACACGAACAACTGAGTGAAATTATTCTCTCCATTTTATTTGTTTTCCTTCTGAAAAAGGAAGAATAACTCGCTTTTTCCTGCCTAGGAAAAGAAAAAAAACTCTTTTTTACCTCTTTCTTTGGAGGATTCTCGGAGGATCTGGCAACCGGAGTTAAAGCTAAACGCACTTCATGTGCCAAAATGATCCTTGTTGCTTGCCCCTGCCTGCATAGAGCATTCATTCCTCCAAGTAAGTACGTCCGAGGCATGGAAATCTTTTAAAGCACGGCCAGGACGGACCTTCCTGCGAATCCTCTCCTTGTTTCAACCATCAAGGATCAGTCGATCGAGAGAGCAACACGAGTACGTGGGAGACCGAGGAGGAGCCAAGGTTGAATCGGAATCATCACTCCCCAGAATGATGGTTTTGGAAAGCATACCAAGCTGGAAGAAGTGGAAAGTTATAAAAGTTTTGGGGAACTTGATGATGGATGAGAACTTGATGATACGAGAGACCTTGACTGAGGGAAGAAACTGCTTACCAGTGCGATATATTTGACTGCTACACTGCTGCTTCTGCCAAGACATCTCCATCGTATGAGTGGCCTGCTTAAATGTTTGAGGCAAGGAGAAAACAACCGAGTTCTTAAGTTTTGTCTGTGGTGTGCGTTGTGGTGGTGTGTGATGATACCTAGTTCGACAGAGAAGTTCATCAAGTGGTGAAAGCTCCAGCTCGCCCATTCCTCGAGTCGCAGTCGCACTACACACGAGAAACCAAGCAGTGAGAAAGATTTTTCTACAGTTTTTCTTTCCGAAGTAACTATAGCTTCCTTCCCAACGAGAAAACGAGTAAAAAAGAGATTTTGTAGGTGGACGAACGCGAACGAGACGAGAGACGAGGACGATGGCTCCATCCAAATGCCTCCAAACAGCCACCATCGCCCAAATGAAAATCCAAGCAACAAACCAGTTATACCACCGCAAGGAGTAGGCTTATCATTCAAGACGGAGTTTGACTCGTTTCGCTTGGCAGCGCCTAGGCTGTGGACGCCTACTGAAAACTACAACACACTCGCACACACGCAGATAGGTGGAGTGATTTCTCCAAGCTTAGTTTCGGTTTTTCTCTCTCGGTTCTTTTCGGCAGAAGCTGCTCGCTGATGATGAATGAAATGGACTCATCTCAACATCCCAACGACGAGAGCGAGAAAGCGTGGACCAAATCCGAGAAGTCTTTGACTGAGATGATCTAAGATGGATCCAGAGAAGAACTTCCAAAAAAAACCAGATTTATGCAAGCTCAAGCTCGTGAAATTGGATAAACACTCAAGGAACTAACTCAAGGCCATCGAACTCGCATGCATGCTTTGCAAAGGATCGAAGAAATCAAGCTGACTTAAGCCAAATCAAAACAAAACCCATGCATAAGCAGTGATCTCGATCGGCTTTCGCTATCACAAGTAGCACGAAGCCGGCGAGGGATTGATAATCCAGTGTGTAAGTAGCTATACTGTCGTAGCGTATAGCTTATAGGAGAGGTTTTACCTGGGGATATGGAACAGATTTGCTGTTCTTACTTCCAAAAGATACGAAAGAAAGAAGAAAAAAACACACAGAGAGAGAGAGAGAGAGCTAAACCCACCCAAGTATGCTTATAAGACACTACGCACCTTTTTATGAAGCTACTGCCACTCCAGATGTGTGAAAGCCACTCCTCTCTCCTCGCGCTCGCTTTGCTAATCCCGACGAGACTTAAAAGTAAATAAGCTAGCTTCCCATCGATCGATCGCCATCGTGCCTGCCTCCATTTGAGAAATTAAGACAACCCAATACGACCCAAATGGGCGAATCAATGTGGGCTTTTGTCCGTTTGGCGTGCCTCGCGTTGAGCTTCCCGCGCCCAAAAATGTCTTGCGCGGTGACAAGTTGACAAGAGACAAGAAGCATTTTTCGCAATGAATTCGCGCAGCAACAGCGGCAGCCTTCTCGCCCTTAAAATCCAGAGGGAATTGGACAAGGATCGGATGGAAATTGGTCGATCGAAGCCCTGATTGAATGGAATTGATCACACAAAACTCCACATTAATGCTTATCTTCCTCTGTTTTTGCTGTGATGAATCTTTCCCGTGGAAGAGCGAAATCCCCCGTTGACCTCACGCATTTGTTGCCAGAAAGCCCAGTCATGCATCTCTCGCCAGCGTAGAAAACAACGTATGGCATGATCGAGCGATAAGTATGGCCCCAAATTCACGCACAAAGCTCGCTCGTTTCTCCTCCAAACGGGACGGTCCGTGAGAGGCAAAGAACAAACAAGAAAAAGAAAGATTTTTAATCCCTGGCTGGGGGGCGCGATCGATTGAAATCCTCTGTACGCTGGGTGGTATATTTTAGAATTTAATCACACAGCACAGCCACAGCAGCCATCGCCAGGCAGGGAGCAAATCCATTAATGTGTATACAAACACAGCGCGCTTTAAAGCCTGTGAGAATGTAGCGTTATGAGCAACTGATAAGCTGAGCTCATTCATTCACTCACTCATCCATCCATTTCCATATATTCTTTCTCGCTTTTTAAATTTTCCTTCCGCAAAAAAAAAAACCATTTTTTTCCGCAGCTGACACCAGGAGAAAAATCCTTTCCACTTTTATTCAATGTTTTCTACAGACTGTAAAAAAAAGAGAGAGAAATTTAAGCGAGGAGACAACAAACAAACCAACATGAATGAATGAAGGAATACAAATACTATTTATTTGCAGTGCCTTACAAAGCAATACGTATTCAACGACGCAAATCACGTCTTCGTCCTCGTTCTTCTTCGCCTTCTTCCTCGCTTTTTTTTTTTTTTTTTTGGCTTTGCTTCGTTCATCATCATCAGTGCTGTGTGTTCTCGTGTTCTTAAGAGTGAGCGAAGCGAGCGAGCGTTCCTTTCATCTTCCAGTGCCTGTCTAACCGGCAATATAAAAGGCGATGGTGGATGGAGAGGAGGGAGGAGGGACAAGTACCAATGTGTTGGTGTGGGAGTAGCGGTGTCGTGCGTGTCGGCCAGTGCTCCCCTTGAGCGCTTCTTTTCCTACCTGGCTCCAAACTCAAAGCGTCATTCATTCATTCAAATGTGTCGCGCAAACTAGCAGCAAGATTACTTACGAGGAAGCTGTGCACACGAGAGAGAGAGTCTCGCTCCTCTTTTTCTGTTCTATCGTTCTTTTTCTCTCTTTGCTCTCTCTCCTCGAGAGAGAGAGAGATCTCGATCGATGCAGTGCTGCTGAGTCGTCCAGTCGTGTCGGCCGAGAGAGTCGCGAGAGAAAGGAGAGAAGCGCGCAATGGGCCTGTTTGCATTGAACTGGGGGTTAGCGTCTGCGAGAGAAGGAAAGAGGCAAAAGTGTGGAGGGATGGTGTTACCGGCGGCCCAGGATCACGAGCACGATGCTTGCCTGTATGATTCTTCCTCGCTCCAGCAGCAGCGCTCCTTTTATGGACTCCACCACTACCAGCAGCAGCTCCACCTCTCTCCTCCTCCTCCGGCTTACACTGTCCAGCAGCAACAGCAGCAGCTCTTTAGCAATCTCCAGGCTTTGAAAGAAAAGAGTCGTCAGGAAAGCTTACTCTCCAGGATGAGCTTCGCCAATGGTGGTGAGTTTCACTCGATCCAGCAGCAGCAGCAGCACGCCTCTAATTGGCATCACCACCAATCTGATAAGTTGAATCCATTAAAATCACCACAGCACACGTACCATGATCAAGAGAGATCTCCAGCAACCGGAGGAGGGGCAGCAGCTCACGAGCACCTCTTCTACAAAGTTGTCACTCCCAGCGATGTTGGAAAGCTCAACAGGTTGGTCATTCCCAAGCAGCACGCCGAGAGGTGGTTCCCGCTGGATCCCTGCCTGCGAAAGAAAGGCCGCCTCCTCTCCTTCCAGGACGTTGTAAGTCGAGAGTTGTGGTGGTTCCGCTACTCTTACTGGAGTAGCAGCCAGAGCTATGTCCTCACCAAGGGATGGATACGTTTCGTCAAGGATAAAGATCTCCAGGCTGGGGACATCATCTCCTTTGAGCGAGGCGCTCGTCACGAACTCTACATCAATTGTCGCAAGAGGCCGACTTCCGGTCGAGCGGCTTTCGCCCCGCTTCCCGGGGACGAAGCTTTCGATCAGCAGCACGAGCACCAGCAGCAGCAGCACTTGTCCTCGCATTTTCCGGTCTCGCCTGCAACACCAGCACCAGCGACTGCAGTCAATGCGAGCAGCAGATCGAATGAAATGCTCACCCTTTCGTCGCATCACTCGTCTTCTGATGAGGACGACGAAGAGGAAGCGGCTGTCTCGGGAGGGACACGGCTCTTCGGAGTGGACCTCAGAGCCAACCCGATTCACAAGCTCGTACTTTAAAACTTCTTTAAAGAGGTCTGGCAGATAGTTCGTAGTTCCAGTTTTGTTAACACAGCAAGGAAGGAGCTCACTGTAGGCACTGCAGGGAGGAAAGTTCAAAGTTCATAAGAGTTTCATGGTTTCTCGCTTGGAGTTCTTTCTCGTTTTCTTTTCCCCAGTTCATTCGTCGCTACAGTTGAGCACTCGCAGCTGCCTCTGCAGGTGTACAACCTGGAGAAGGAGAGAAAATTAGCCCCAAAGATCTAGGAAGCCATTCCGCTACCTCCAGTTGAAGCAAATCTGGAAGCTTGTCTGTTGCACCCAAGTTGACAAACTCCAATCTCACTTCCGAATTGGGGATCTCTGACCACGTCTCGCTGGGCTGCGCGAGCAGGAGTACAGTCACAACATCGACGGGCGTCGGGTGTAATTCGCACGAACCAGTTGGGACTATCACTTGCACGTTGCCATCCTTGACCCCGCCATCGCCGATAAGAACGCCAGCACCCTGGCCGTCGGTGGTCCTTGTCATTCTCTTGCAGCTCACGCAGCTCGCACAGCTCTTGGATTTATGCAGTCCGCCACACAGCAGGCTCTTTCCTTGGCACGATGCCTCGCCAACTTCGTCTGTGAGACTCTTTTCAGACAGTGCGCACGGGCACGAAGGGGTCGACTTGAGCCATCCAGCCAGCCGCTTGTACATATCTGTGCTCCGTAGCTGATTTAGTACGTTTGTCTGCAAGACAGGAGAAAAAGAAACGTTGCAGATGATCAGTTTTGCTGTCAAATGAACCGACCTTAAGAGTCAATCGCTGCATTTCATCGTTGTCCAGTTTGCCAGATTCATCGTTCGATCTCCTCACCTCCACTATCCATTTCACAAACCCGGTTACCTTACCCGGAAAGGTTTCCAGAATAGCGGAGAAGACATCCTCGACGCTTGTCATCTTTCCATTGCGCACAACTACACGGAGTTCCTGGCTGAGAAATCTAGAAACATCCCTCCAGTTCTCGACTTTGCAAGACTGCAAGAGAGTAACAAGTTTTACGCGATTCTTGATCGGCAAATGAATTTAATGTTCACTCACCGAAGTAAACAAGAGTGAAGGTGGTTCGCTTCGCTTTGTAACAACCATGAACCTGCAGGATGAAGTTGTGCATGAGAGGAGAAAAAATAAGCAATACTCGTCTTACCCTCTCGATTTTCCAGTTGATACGTCCACGGTGTTTACAGCGTCCCACAGCACGTTCAATGGCACCCAGTGTGGAGGATATTTGAATCTTGCCACGTCCAGAATCAAAGCCATGTCTCTTCGCTCGTGGTAGCCACCGATCGGTGAGAAATGTCCAGTGCCAGTCTCAAAGAAAAAAAAGTTCCAGTCAATTCTAAGCTGTTTTAACTGTTGCAACGAAGACCGCAAACAAAGTACCTGCTTCAAAAGCTGCCGATTGTATGATGCAATCAAGTGCTCGTCCTCCGACGAGCAACATTTCTTCACAACGCTGCGGAAATCTTCCAGTGAGCTCTCGCTGGCTCGAACTGCTTCCACTCTTGCACCAGAACACTCACCCAAGCACGTAACTTTGGCAAAAGAGATTCCATCAGTCTTCACTTTCTCCAGCGGCTCGCAGCAATCCAGCATCGATTCATCAAACCATCTCCACGGTCCTGCAAAGAAAGCTTGTAAGGTGGAAGAAAGAAAAATATCTATGGAGGTGGCAAAGAAAGAAAGAACAAACTGTGTACCTTTCCATTTTCTTCCTGGATCGATGGACAGCGAGTTGAGCACCATGGACAAAGAGGCAAGGCCACAAAACGCCGGCTCAGCCTGCGTCTGGAAATGCGCGATCAACTTGAAGAATCCCTCCATGGTTCCATCCTCGAGAGCCTCGCGAAATATTTCCTACGCGAGAGATACGCATCGATCGCGACCAAACGCTGATCACGGCGCCTTACCTTGCCCTCGCGACAGGTGAAATCGATGCCCGGAAGAGGAAGAACGCGGCGGTAGAGCCCCGCCACTGCCGCCATCGCCGCCCTAGGAGCTCTAGGGTTTATGGGGTCAATGTAGTGATGAGCGCACGTAGCGCAGCATTTACCAGGTATCATACCCCCGAGATTGGATGCCTAAGAGCGCCGTCTTACTCCCAGCAGTGAAACAAGAAGTTTTTGACCTTTAAACCTTTCTAGGGTTCTCTCGATTGTGGAGAACTTCCTTTCCAACACCAAATGCCTTGACTGGGGATTTGGAAAGAAGAAACCACATTTTGGAAGTGGAGGCATTTGCGGTCCTAAAGGAGCAAATCTATGCCTTGGGGTCGAGAATGAGTCATGGAAGGAGTAGATGAATCGCAAAATGCCCATGATTCTATCTTCTTGCTGTCTTTTAAGTGTTTTGGACGTTTGTTTGTTTACTTGACTTCACTGCTTTTTAAGGTCTTTTAAGTGATAGATTTTATTGGTTTCATCTTTGTGCAAAATTATTTTAACGTTATGATTTAGTTAACGTTTTCTTGTTCTTGAATGTGAATGTGCAAGTATACGGGATTTGAACCTGCGCCCTCGTGAGAGGAGCAGAACTTGAGTCTGCCGCCTTAGACCGCTCAGCCATACTGACATTACATGTTTATACTATTAGATTTCGATGGCAATGGGTGAATGCATTAAGCATTCAACCACTTGGCAATGCATGCTGGAATGTAACATAATATATAAGGCTTGCAAGGTCTAGAGATTATTCAGCAAGAGTTGATTGAGCTCCATTAATCACCTACTACGACAATGAAGACTGTTTTGGTGTTGTTTCTAGTTTTTGCCTTTGCCACTTTCCAGATAGCTGTGTCTTCTTCTTCTTCTTTGGGTAGAAGGGAGCTCTTGTCTTTGGACAATGGTATTGCTGATCAAGACTCATCAGTGGAACCAGCATCCAGTTCTCTAATGCATCCTCCTGAGATGGATGATCATGATCATGAAGATGGAGGTCCTCCAGTCCATGGGTCTGACAAGCACAGGAGGAGCAACAACAATAACAACAAAACATCAACATCAATATCAACATCTGCAGAAAGAAGTCTATGAATCATGAAGATTCAAAGCACAAGGACAAGGACGACGAGAAAAAAGGGTTCCATTTTTAGTTTAGAGCCTCTCCATCATTTGTAGATCAATAAAACCAGTATGTTAGAAATTCTTGTTTGTTTTAGATGAAGCCTGATTGTTCTTCTGAGTCTTTGTGTTTTGGTGCTTTTTCTTCATGGCGTGAATGGTGTGGCTGGAACTTTCAAACTCAAGCACAGGTTCTCTGAGTTGCAGGGATCAAGCAAGCAAACTGGAAAGAGAGGCCTTGGCATGAGCAAGGAGCATATGCAACATCTTCTCGAGCACAATGCCAAACGAGCCCAAGGAATAAATTTAGGCTATATTTATCAATTTTTTCCACTGAAGCAATGAGATCTCCATCTTTATCTATGTTTAAAGTGCATACGTCTCTGATTTCACTTCCATGATTCTTTAAGAATATCTGCCAGCTTGTATCGGTCTCAAATATGTTGTCATTGTTTGTATTAGAGCACAGTTTGAACATGAATTCAGATGTTTCATCGAACACACAGATAATGTTTTGATTGTTGTAGTGGAAACAGTCTTCCATAGTTTTTCTTGTCAATTCGTTTGGAAACTACTAGTGGATTTCAAATACTTTTTCTACAAATTATAGTATACAACATGCATACATACTACAACTAAATGCCTTTGCAGAAGTGGAAAGGATGAAGGGTGAATAATCCCCCCAATCTACCTAGAGATGTAGTTTTCAAAATTGTAGGGAGAAATGGCTATTATAGCACAGTTTTTTCATGTATGTCTAATGAATTTTACATGGAATTTCAAAGTGATAGAAATTGGCAATTGCATTGTGAGTGGGATTTTTCTGTCTTCAAGTGTATAGATTACAAAGGTAGACATTGCAGAACATACAAGGTTTATATTTTCACTGGTTTGTTTAAAACAAATGTCAAATTTTGCTACAAGAAACTTACAAGAGTTGGTTCATGGTGTTCAAATGCTACAATTATAATATTACCTCTATAATCAGAAAGCTATGCCTTAAAATACAAAGCTTCCTTAGATTTAAAGGTTTTGAGTACATGTCAACTAAGGGTTTACCAAATAACGTCATAAATGAAGTAGAGGCAATTTTGAATGTCAACCTTCCAAATTCTTTAAGATGTCTACTGCTTCAGCCTAAAAATTGTATCATCAATGGTCTACGGCATCAAGAATACAAAGGTTTTATTGGTACTTATTGGACCTACAATACATTTATATGCTCGAAATTACTTTCACTCCAAGAGATTTGCTCATTCACCATAGACTTGAGATTATCTGTGCCTTGTTTCCCTGCTAACTTGGTATCATTTGGTTGCTCATTGGATGCATCGAAAATTTACTTTATAAATGTTCATTCAAGTAATGTAGACTGAACATTAAAGAAGACTCATTAGTAAATGGTTGAACATGTGATATTTTCATAACTTTAAAACATTTCAAACTCAAACTCTGAAGTTATGTTGTGTACACCTATATCTGTTCGTGGTGAGATGTCACTCATTTGCTGGCTTGCAAAGCTTTAATCTAATCTTCATACTGGAAAATCTCGTTTAGTTCAAAACCCCATTAAAACTATATTTCAAGGTGGTTTGGTAGCAAATAGACTATATCATGTAAGACTTTACCAATTTGTTCTTTGCTAATACATTGTGTCTATTTCCTTTAGCATGGTTGTGTACTAATACTGGAGTTGACATCTTTTGCCAGTGATGAATTGATATGCCCCATCATACAAAAGCTACAATTGAATTTATAGTAAGTCATTTAAAGCATTTTGACAGGCACTATAAGGAGAAGTTGCCATTTTTATTGAAGCTCATTAATAATCAAGCACAAAAAGAAGCTATAATGAAGAAGAAAGAAGAGTAGTTCTATATGTATGGATTTTTTATGGATTGAGATTAATAAATTAAAGTCATTAAAATATCTTATTGCTTCAGCATAGTGATAATAATTTATAGTGGCTAATCTCATTAATAAGTATTATACCACTTCTCTCGAGTGCTGTTTCTTTCACTTTTTTGACACTTGTTTTCATCATTTGAGATTGTAGTTCTTACTTTACGGAAAGACAACTGGAAAATCATAGCCAAACTCTGAAAAATATTGTTGATACTGGGTGAAGTACACGGGATGTCAGTCTTGCTTATCTGCAAGGGATGTCATAATACCTATGATGACTTCACATTTCTAAAGCTCTAATCTGTTTGCTCCTTTTATAAGTTTTCCTGACCCAAGTGCTTCATCAACCATGTTGCAGTCGGATCCTCTATGCACTTTTGATTTTGGAGTCCGAATAGGATGCCAGCAAAATACTTGTCACTACTCTCAGCGATACATAGACAAAAGCTTTTCTGATGGTGGTATGCTGAGGGATGGCTAACATTATGTTGTTATGGACAACGAAAAACCTCAGAAATTTTCAAGTTTTTCTTGTTCTCAGTCTCCTTTCATAAATATCATATATTTAGAAGTTTTGCATGCTTTATTCATAGAATATTAATAATAAATTAAAATAACTTGAAAATATTAATCTAATCATAGCTTAATTAAATAAAAAATTCAAAATATAAGAAAAAAAATCTAAACTATAAAATATAGAAGTAACCCAAAAATGCAGCAAATTTTGAGAAAATAAATTCTAATACAAAAATTTCAACAAAAAGGTTCAATAATTTCAATTTGACAAAAATTATATTATATTATAATATTAGTATTGTAATATTATATTCAATAAAAGAAGCTATATAGACCTACCTCTGATAATATGTTGAAAACTATAAACACAAAAGGGATGTTATTTAAATGAATTACTTTCTTTTACTCAACAAATATAGCTCTAATACCAATTTGTTTAACATCTTTATTAACTCAAATGTTCTTTCTATTGAGTTTTCACATAGCAATGATAGTTATAGCATAATAGAGTTCACCACCTCCAGTTAGTGGTTTTTCAAATAAATTAATATATATTAAACTTTTCTATTATTTTCATGAAATTTAGCTCTTTTTTTCCTTTAATTTTTATGGTATTAGAGGCATAGGTTCAATCATGGCTTATTCTCTTGTAAAATTTATTCTTGAGCCATAAAATAGCATTGGTTTTTATGAGTGGTAAATTATAACATAGCTATATTTTATGGAAAAGAATATCTAAAGTGTTACTGATGACATATATATTACTCAAGAATTTTTTTAATATATCTTATTAATGAATAGAAGTAGCAAATTTTCATAGCATTAGGAATCATTAGACAAAAACTTAATAAACTCTATCATAGTTATTTAAATTTATCTCATAGTTTCAAATTCAATTAGGACAATCTTAGTAACAAGCTTGACAAGAATTGGAATATTTTATCTTGAACGTTAATTTTTCCTTCATATAAGTTTCTAGCTTTTCATATGTCTTTTCTTGGCTTGAATGTTGCTTCTTTCATTCTTACAACATTCTCTATATAGATTTTTACTAACTCACTTAACTTCATTTATTTGTTATTTCTTGCTAGATATATAAATTCCCTCTTATGCTATATCTTAAGAATCCTTACATCCAAAAAATTATTTTTCTTTTTCTTACAATAACTTCATCATCAAATTGATCATTTAAGATCTTCATTTTCATATTTTTTTTGTATATTCATGGCCATTTTAAGCTTCTTTACAAATCTAATATTGTAATATACATGGTTTTCACCCTTTACTTTATGGTGGTTTACCATAGAATGACCATAGAGTGGAACTTTAACCCTCTATATGCCACATGCCATATGTCCATGGACAGCAAAGTGAAACCCAAGTTTCAGAGCCTTGGGATGCTAAACAAAAGGATGGAGCCAAACTCCCAAGTATAGAGCCTAAGAACAAAGGAAGCAAAGAATGGAATTACTTCTGAGTGTACAGCTCAAGGAGCAAAAGGAAAGGACTTGCCAATAGCTAACTATGAGACATAAATTCTAGAGTCCCAAAAGTGGAGCCAAAAGGGTGCCACGTGGTGGTGTTTTTTGTTTCAAAGGCTGTGAAATGAACCCCTAATGCTACTTTTTTCGCTTTCTGGAAGAACGCATTGGTGATTAGCTGGAATTTTCTAGACTGGAAAACTTACTTCTTCTACTTTTGTGTTCTCGTCTTTGGCAGCTGGTACTTTAGTCATCCCTTGCGTCAATTTTTTCAGTGTTACAAACAGATGTGTGCATTGTAGGAACTTCGATGGCAGTGATGAGCAGAGAATACTGCCTTGTGATCTTCTCTCCCCACCAGCGAGCAGTGGCAGCGCTGCCTCTGCGTCAACTGGATTGTTGAGCTGCTCACCATTGTCTCCAACATCTGTCAAGAAGAGAAGAACACAAGATCTTGTATTTATTGGCCACTCGCTGAAAGAACAACCGTCTCAAGCGACGCAGGTACGTGGTGTCATGTGTTCCTCTGTTTGTTTTTTTCTAAGAGAGAAGTGCTGGTTGAAGAGCTCTGGTCTTTCAGGCGCAAGTGAACGCTTTAAGAGCACAGCCTACTTTCCTCCATGACGAGACTATAGAGGCCATCACTGCTGTCTTCTGAAGTATTGAAACTTAAGAGCTTTTGTCCCGGCGTAAGTGCTCGTTGCAACAGCACAGTATCAGAAGGTTCGTTGCTGCTTTGCCAGATGACATTGCTCAAGCTTTCATCCAGGAGCATTATGGTTGCGTGATTGGAAAGGCAGAGCCACCGGACGCCTCTGTTTGCAGTTTTCGTGGACCATACAACATCACCGTCTTCTTCGACTTTAAGCTCTCCATCTGTGGTAAATTGTAGAGTGGCATTCTCACCTACAAGCCTCGTCTGTCGGGCCTTCCACAGGATGACCGGTTTCGTGAGCTCCCAGCTAGTTGGATTGCAGATGGCAACGAGGGCCAGGAAAGACGATCTTGGTGTGTCAGCTTTATAACTCAGCATCCACACCTTGTAACTAATATTCTGGCTGATCTCTGTGTCGCTATAGTTGGACCATAAACCAGCGTAGCGGCCACTCAAGCCGTGTGGATCAAGCAGAAACAAGAAGGAATCATTTATTTTGCTGGTGAAATTCCTGTAGTATTGTTCTGCTTGAGCAAAACGCAGGATGAAGATCGACGAGACAATGAAGCACAACTTTCCTTTGCTAGCCATTATTTTTCGGCCTCTCAAGTGCTGAATTATTTGAACTCCCAGTGAGCTGTGTCACGCTCTTTGGACAAGACTTTGCAAGTACATATGGACTACGCCAGGTTCACTTCTTTGACTGACTTTATTTAAGTTCGGCAAGTGTTGCAAGCAGGTTGGAGGAGTTCCCAATGTCTTGGAAGTTCGTAACGCTGTTCATCCTTGAGATTTTAGTCGCAGTAGAAGCGGATGAGGTCTGTCTGCAACTGTCACCGTCCCCGGAGCTGGAAAAGTTCGTCGACGTTCTTCCAACGCCACCGAAGATATACTTGAGCCCACGCTACAGAGTTACCATTGGAGCTTACAAAATCACCCAGGTATGCGTTCTTTCTCCACTTGATTTTCCAAGACTCGTTTTTTTTTGTTGACACAGAAACTGCACAGAGACTTGCCACCAACAACACTGTATGCATTCGGCACGAGCGAGTATACAGCTTCTTTTCCGGGTCCAACTTTGATAGCCCAAAAGAGAGAAACATCCTTTGTCCGATGGGAAAATCACAATCCAGATCGTGAACACTTTCTTCCAGTCGACTATACGATCCTAGGGGCGGGTCCGCACTACGGCTACATTCCCGTGGTCCCTCATCTCCATGGACAAGAGGGCTTGAGCTGGTCCGATGGGCATCCAGAAGCCTGGTTTACATCAGTTGGCGAGCGGGGCCCAGGTTACGTGACGCAAAACTACGTCTATCCGAACTTTCAGCGCCACTCGCTCCTGTGGTATCACGACCACACTTACGGCATGACCTGGCTCAACATGGCTGCTGGCTTGGTCGGACTTTACGTGATAGAGTCGCCGTGGGAAGATCCATCCTGGGTCCCGAGAAACTACGTGCTTCTGGTGATCCAAGACAAGCAGTTCTTCAGCAACAGCTCCATAAATTATCCCAGTGTTGGGAGCAATCCGGCAGTTCATCCGCAGTGGTGTCCGGACTACTTTGGTGATACCATTCCGGTGAAGGGGAAGGTGTGGCCTTAGATCGAAGTCTGGCCGGTGGTCGTGAGGTTCCGGGTGATGCTTGCGGCAAACTCGAGATTCTTCATCCTCAACTTGAATGACACGAGCTTGAGCTTCATCAAGATTGGCACGGACGGGGGATACCTGGCAACTCTGATACGGCAGAAGAAGCTCAGCCTCTCTCCTTCCGAACGAGTTGACATTCTTATCGACTTTCGCGGAGTGAAGCCCGGGGAGAGAGTTCTCTTGTACAACAACGCGCCGGCTCCATTCCCGACCGAGTAAGAAGTTCTCCTGTTCAAAGTAATCAACTGGCAGACCAACGCTACCATCGACGAAGACGCCAATGAGATCCCGCAAGCACTCACTCCAAGCGAGCTGGCCGAGTTGGCGACGCTATCGATCATCAAAGCCACGGCCGGAGTAGATCTCTCGTACGTCGACTGGGCGTCAACTTACAACCGCCTTTCGTTCACCGTGTAAGCCTCGACTCTGGAAACACGCTCACGGGACTCTTTCTCCAGGACAGGCTCTCTTTCACGCGTCCGGCCACCGAGCAAGTCCTGCTCTACACGAACGAGGTGTGGTGCATGATCAACACCATGACAGCATCCCACCCGATCCACATCCATCTCATCAACTTTCTCGTGCTCGAGCAGCAGGGATTCGACACCGGGCGATTCGCTGCCGGGTCGTGCTCGTTCGAATACGACTACCCGGACTCGAGGAGCTGCTACACGGGCGAGGCACAGGGACCCGACGTGGATCAAGTCGGGTAGAAGGACACGGCCGTCATCCAGCCCACCACCGTCACCCGGTTCTTCCTGGCGTTCAAGCCCAGCATCTCGTACAGGTTCCCGCTGGATCCAACGACGTTTCCACACTTTGTGTGGCACTGTCACATTCTCGAGCACGAGAATAACGAGATGATGAGGCCGCTGGTGGTGTCCAGCACGAATGCTCTCTACACCAACAAGTCCTTCCCTCGTGACTTTCCCAGGGACGAAAGCTACAACGTATGGCTTGCCACCGGGAACTCGATCCATCCACACGACAGGTGCTCACACTCTTGGCATTGTTTTTTTTCATCACTGGAATCCTTCTCTTACTTTTGCAGGAAACACGGGTACGTAAAGCTCGTCACCAACGAGTCCATCCATCTTTACTAAAACTGCACGCAACAATAAGGTGTTCTGTTCACAATTCCATTCCATCCATCTACAACGCTTTCTCCTAGCAGTATGTGGGTTGGTTTGATGCTCAGCTTTGCTTCGCATGGTGTAGCAACTACCACTATAGAAGGAAGAAAAACATTAGCGTCTCTAGGATCAAAACCATAGCTTCTCAATTATTTTGTCCACTTCTACCTCATATCCTGAGGAAACAAATCCGGGCAGAGCTCGTCACTCAAAATACGACGTCGCTCTCGTCTGTCCTCGCAACCCCGTTCTCTCAGAGTAAAACGCCAGTGCCAAGCTCAGCACGTCATCCTCCTCCTTGTAATGCCGCAGTAGCAATGGCGACTCATACCCTTGGTAGTCAGTGTCCTCCGTGAAAGTGGTAGCCTCGCCTTTGAAACACGAAATGTCATAGTCAATGATCTTCAGCACCCACCATGTTGTCTAGCTTGAGATCCCGATGGAGCACACCTTCTCGTGAAGGTGCCGGAGTCTGGCATATGCTTGGTTCCACATCTCCTCCATGGAGACTGCTTCCCGGACATGAGCCTCACCGAATAGCTTCCCGTAACTCTCCATTTCCAGATAGCTGAAGAGACCTTCACAACTTCCCACGTCCACCTCTCCTGAGCTGCACAGCCTCCGCAGGTTGACATGGCCATCCGTTGCGAGATGACACGCTTCTCTACACTGGCTAGAGGCGCAACCACACCTTGAACACCGTGTTCCACAGCAGCACCAGCGACTTGCGACCAATAGGCAATAGTCTTCAACTCAAACAGCACGAGTTCTGCGCCTTCCAACGTGATAGCCGGATGAGGCAGCTTGAACAGCCACTAGATGTGCTCTACCACCGTAGCAAAACCGCGGCTCGGTTTCGAGGGAAGAACATCTGCCAGCGTCAAGTCATGAGAAGAAAATCTGGATCTGAGGCTTCTGGCACTGATGGCAACTTAGGAGTCACTTGTAACCTCCCGCTAGCTAGCTCATATGTAGAACCAGCTCTGAGCTCCCCATTGACGAATCCTTGCATGTCTAGCATGGACACATACCACTGGCATTGTTTCTCGTAATGCAGCCCGTGCTGGCCATACGATGCGCCTACAGGACGCCAGGATAGTAGAGGTCCTCGCGAATCATGCCTCCCTTCCCCTTCTTCTCTTTCTTGCTGAGCTTGGCGCTCTTGAGATCGGCGAGGCTGACTTGTCCTCCAGCATCTAGCAGCAGGAACAGCCATCGCAGAGCCACCAGGATGGGATCAGCGGTGCCAAGGATTCGATTCGCTTCATAGACGGGTTGACACTTCGGAAATTTGGTGATCGTGGATCTTGTGGGCAGAGTGACAAACACTGGAGAGAAATTCATTGCGCTCAAGAAAGATAGTGTCCAGCGGCCTCTTTCTACTAAGGATACAAAGCACTAGCACTTACCGGTGTAGTATTTTCTTCCTGAGAAGAGCAGCCCGCATTTGATAAGAACGAATTGACTCCAGTATCCCCACTTTAAAACATTAAAGTAAAAGTTTTATTATTATTATTGTATGTAGTTAAAAATGCCATAGTAAAGTATATATATCCACAATCTTATAGAATTCTAGTATATTTGCATATCTATCTTCCTCCAGTGAATGTTTCCATAGATTTCGGCAGGGAACTTCCGTCCTCAAGTTGGATGGCCTCTCTCAGCTGGATCACGACAGTGCTCATGTTAGGCCTCCTGTGGGGAGAACGTTCCACACATTTTCTTGCCACCTCCAAAACTTTCAGTGCTGCATTCTCTCCATAGTCGGATAAGCTGGGATCGATTACTGTTCGTAGGTTGCCTTTCTCAAGTTCCTTGCATGCCTGGGAGGAAGCAAAGCTCATCAAGAACAGATCTTTATAACTAAGCTCTCTTAATAGTTTACCCATTCCGAAAGAACAATTTGTTCCTCAAGAAGTGTGAAATTGAGGGGCTCACGTCCGCAAACAATCTCAAATAGTACCACTCCAAAGCTGTATACATCTGATTTCTCTGTGAGCCTGCTATAGGAATGGTACCTGAAAAACCATTAAATTCAGTAAGATATCATGCTTATGGAGAAAAAAAACTTTTGCTCACTCTGGATCAAGATATCCTGGAGTTCCTTTGATGCCAGTTGAGACATGAGATGCTTTGTTACTGTCATAAAACTTGGAGAGACCGAAGTCACTGAGTTTTGCAACCATATCAAAACTTAAAAGTATATTGCTTGTTTTGACGTCTCGATGGATTATGTGTAAATTGCAAGATGTGTGCAAATACTCCAATCCTATGAGAGAGAGTTATATCATATCAATTCAGAGATTTAGATACCTTGAGCAGCATCTAGAGCTATTCCAAGCCGAGTTTTCCAGCTTAGAGTTGGGTATCTTTTACCTTCTGACATTACATTAAAGGAGGACGTTTCAACACAAAAATTTCTTACCACCATACAAGTGCTCCCTCAACGTTCCATTTGACAAGAACTCGTAGACCAGTATGAGCTTGGACTTTTGAGTACAGTAACCAAGAAAGGGCACTAAGTTCTTGTGGTGTACAACTGATAAAATATCAATCTATCAAGGAAAATTAGATAGATTTGTACCTGTTGATGATCAAACTCACCTCAGTTTGAAATTCTTGATATCCTTGCTTTGAGTTACTGGATAAAACCTTGACTGCAACTTCAACACCATTTGGAAGGCAGCCATAGTACACGGGTCCAAAACTTCCTTCACCAATGACTCTCTTGAAGTTGCTTGTGGCCTCAATCACATCCTTGTAAGCAATCATTTTAGTGCTAGAGTTTGGAGATTTTAGAGACAAGCCTGGATGGAACAATATGCCATAGGAAAATGAGTTACCCACAAGGCTACCTTTTGGAACTTACTTGGATTCCTGTTCTGTACTGTGATGGATTTTGAAGTTTTTCTACCGGAAAAGAAACAAACCACAAGTCCAGCTCCAAGTAACAATATGGCTGCACATGGTACCACTACTTCAAATATAAGTGTTGTATGTTTCTTCTCGCACAAGCTAAAAGTAGCGCTGAAAAAAAATATAAGTGATACACAATTCAATGGCAATAGAGAAAAACCGACTTGTAAGAGAAGTGTACATGTTCTGGTGGTAGGCAATCCAAACTGTTGTTTTCTAATGACCTGCAAAAGAATTAGTAAAATTCTATCATCTAGCATACTGAATGGTGGTACTCACAAAACCGTGAGATTTTTCAAGGAGCTAAAATCTGGAACACGCCCTGTCAATGCGTTGTTATCCAGATATCTGAAGACATAAAGATCAGAAGAACGAAAAATTACGTCAAAAGACCCATACATACATTTTTGTTAGATGCGATAGCTTTGTGATGGACAGTGATATGGTTCCTTTGAGTCCACTGCTAGACAAGTTCCTGTGATGCACAGATGTTAATGTGATCACGCTAGAAATGCGTCCACTTATTACAGCTCTATAATTCTTGCTGGGATTTGAGCTACATCGCAAGTAATCCATTTCCAAGTGTACGCGTCAGGCAAGCAAGGGTCTCCTGACCACTCAGTGATGTGAAAATCTTTCATCACATCACGTATAGCTGCCACTGCATTGTTTATGACAATGTTAACGAGATCACAATTATTTAAAGTTTCATATGTGCTTTACCATCGTTGGGTTCCGTCCCTGGGAGGAGACCTCCTTTGTACTCACACAGCTCGGCAGCATTGAGAATCGGACCAAGCGTAGAGTTCACCGTGGGCACAAACAAGAAGTTTGTTGGCTCAGTAAGCTCCACTGGCGAGTTGAGGTACATTTGGAATGAAGTTAAAGGAGCCTGAGTATACTTCT